CAAATGCCACAGGAAGTGGTTGCAAGGTGACTATAGGAGATCAGCAACACTGAGAGGGTGGAGGATTAGTGAAAGCAGTGAAAACTGTTGTTCAATGTTTCTAAATACAAAATGGTGCACATGTGGGAGAGAAATCCTCTCCTAGAGTACATTATTGGGGGTAACAATGTTGGCCAGAACAACACAGGAAAATGATTTGAGGGTTCTGCTTTAAGTGACTGAAAATGAGAAAATGTTGAGACCACGCAGTGGGGAAGTCAAAAAAGAATTTTGTAGTGCATCAACAGCAGGAGGAAAGAGGATCTGATTTCTCTATATGGATCTTTAGTTATCTAGAACAGCCTTTCTCAACCGGGGTGCCGTGGGAAGAATGGCTGTCACTTGATCCCAAGCTCCCGATCCCCAGCCACACTTTACGTCGGCACTGGGAGCCATCACACTGCTATGCAAAGGGAAGGGGAGTGTCTTCTGTGCTCTTTGCTTCCCCCTAGAGTGCAGTACCCGGCTGATGGAAGCTAAGATACTGTAACTTTTCATAATGCTGTATACATGTGTACATTTATGTGTTTATATGTATTTTACTTTTAATCTCGACCCTGGTTTAACCCCAGCATCAATCACCACAATGCGCACACAGTTGCGGAGTGGTTGTAGTTCAACGCCATTCACCTGGAGGTATACTTCCAGCTGCGGCAACAGAATGTGTATACCCCCCAGCTGCTGTTTCTGCAGCTAAAGGAGGAGCAGTTGGAGGTGGTAAAAGCAGTTCAATTGCATGGTTTTACCGCTCTCCAACCTCACAGGTGAACAGGCCCTTGGTTCGCATTTGTGTGGCTGTGCGTAGGGCAGCCCATTCACTTCACTGGGTTGCCTTACCCGCAAAAAATTCAGGAAATTCGTCCCTGACCATAGTTCTAAAATTGCACCACACCCAAACACCCCTGCCATTGTATGGGGTTCCCCTAAAGAGCAGAGCATTTGTCTGCATGTCAGGAATGAGAGCCTGGCTACATCCAGATCTTTAGTTATTACTAGAGAGATCACCAGCAGGAAGGAGGTTCTGATTCCTCTACATAGGTCTTTAGTTATCACTAGGGATCACAAGCAGTTCTAAGGAGGAGCCCCGCACGCTGTGACGTCACGCCGCCGGATCACGGAGGTCCGGTGGCCATCTTTGAATCCAGCTGGTTAGTGCACAGAGCAGCTTTATGCTGCATGTATCTATATTCTGAGGATTACATTGTTATTCTACGCCAATCTTTTACCTATGGGAATTATCTGCTTATGTGTGTTCATATTCATTTTTAAATACTAACATTAATAAATTCATTTTTTATGAATAATACTACATTATGGGCACTATTCTTTGCTCCACACTGAGCACTTAATCCCCCAGAATCCCCAGGTGATCATCCCAGGGCCCAGAGGAGAGAAATCTAAAGCAGACCCCCATCACAGCTAATTATTAAAGGGAACCTCTAGAAGTGCTTTTCCATTGCCCTTATCCACCGAAGAGGTATCCACTCTAGGCTGCATCCTTCCCAGGACAGAGGGGACTTCTGGCTTATTTGATGTAAATGCACATTTATATTGCGCCTCTGGTGAGTGTGCAATTTTACCATTTTCCCTGCACGTTACCGGATCACGTGTCATTGGGAGTAGTGAAATCACCTGTCCAGCTTATTGTTTTTCCTGTACCAACATCACCTTCAGCACTAATTGGACATTTATTGTTGAATTTGGTTATTTATATATAGCGCATGGTTGTTGGGATACATTATTTCACATTTGATACGGACAATATATATATATGTCACTATTTTGCTACTTCACTTTATACTTTACCAGCAATCTTATTGTGAATATTAGCCTCAGGCGTTTGCATCTTTTATATATTTTTTATAGCGCTGCACTGCACATTTTTAAGTTCTGAAGACCTCACTTACAAAAAGATATTGATAAGATACAGACTCCAGAGACTGGCAACAAAAATGATGAAAGGTCTGAGGGATAAATCACATCAGGACAGACTGCAAGAATTTAAGTGCAACCAAAATCAAGAAAAATTAGTACAAGAGACGAAGCTTAGGCAGTAGTATGTGTCCCTTGTGCTGATTTCTCTCCTGTTAGTAGAAATCCTCTTCTGTCCCCCACAATCTTTTGGTGATCCAGGGGATATTACAACTAAGGGGCTGTGACAGGCTGTCATCAAGAGTGCCAGACTATGCCCGCCCTTTGTGCCCAGCTCTGCCATTCATAGAAGCCATACTACAGCTTCTATGAACAAAACACAATATATGAATGGAGGGAGAGGTGGATAATTTATAGCTCCACCCCTCTCCCCTTTAAAAAATTCAATCAAAAAAGGCAGACTTGGTTGGTCTTTTTCTGGCAATTGTTAAAGTGGAAGTCCATTTGTAGCTTAGTGTGCAGTCTTGGCGTGACTCTGTGCTGGGATGACATAAAATGTGTGCGCACATATGTAGATGTTACCTTATCTGGGCTCAGCCAATCAAGATGGCCAAAGACTCTGAACCCCAGATATGGACCTGATGAAGCTGGAGGGGGACACTTTGCCGTATATGAACATTACGGCAAGAAGTTCCTGGAACTCAATTCTTGGGGTCATTTAAAGCAGAGCTGCAGGCTCCCCCCGAAACAATTAAAAGTCAGCAACTACAAATGCTGTGGCTGCTGACTTTTAGCCCTGGTTCACACTAAATGCGACTTTGAAAACGTGCTAATTCACTTGAAGTAGCGTGATTTCAAAGCCGCAGGTCAGTGCGATTTCAGGTTTGACTTGCCTGACATGCACAGATGTTTATGCAAGATGCACCTGAAATCGCCACAAATTGTCCAGGAACTATTTTCAAAATTGGCACGCTGATTTGAACGGTTCCATTGCTGACAATGGGGTGCGATTTGTCGTGTGATTTGGACCAGTCAAATTGTAGTAGCAATTTTGGAAAAACAGGGAAACTCTGTACACTGAAAACAAGTGATTTATTAAAAACAGCGCTGTTGTGACCCAGCCTGCAAAGCCGAGTGATTTGTACTTCTTACAAGCGTATATACCAATGATTACGTCACAATGCATACATTCCTTCTTTCACTTTCTATACACTCAAAAGGCTTTCTAAACTCTGCAAAATATAACCTTGAACAGAAGCTGCAGATAATATCAGCTCACCTCTGCACCCCCCCCCAGCCACAGCTCACCTATGCACCCTGTCTGCAACTCACCTGACTCAATTTACCTCTGCAACACCTGACTGCAGCTCACCTTTGCACATCCCCCCCTCCCCCTCCACTGCCCTCATATGGTTAGCTACCTTTGCAAAACACAACTGTCAGCAGCCGGCCTCTCTCTATAGTAACTCCTGTTTCGGGTCCTATCTTCCCACACAGTGCACCAAGCGCACTTACCACTCCACCTCTTCCCCACTGGCCGGTGATCACCCCTGGGGCATCGGCTTTCATGCATTAGGCTGCAGGAGGAGATGCCCCGCCCCTAAACACACTGCATACTGCACCCGCAGATGTCTGTTCCTTCCCTGTCCCACAGGTGAGTACAGAGGTAGGGAGGTTCTGTGGAAGCGGATGGTGCTGTCACTTCAGCCGCGCTTCTGTGTTTATAAGAGATAGTAGATATAGGTGTGCGCAGGGCCAGTGCCGGAGGTAGCGGAACGGCGTTCCGCCATGTTCTGGCTGAAAAAAAAGCCCTGATCACAACTAGGTCTTATTTTCGGGGTAGGTCTTATACTTTAGCAATTCCCAAAAATAGCAATAGGTCTTTTCAGGGTAGGTCTTATTTTAGGGGAAACGGGGTACAAGCTGGTACATATCTACAGGAAATAAGGGAGGGGGGAAATGAGCTGAAAGCCTTGCTTTTACAAACACAGGCTGCTAGAAGTGTTAGAGTTTAAAGGGGAACTCTGCCATATCTGGGTGCTACCACAAAATCGCATGGCAAGTCACACCGGTGTGAACCAGGGCTCAATTTAAGAACAATTACCTGTCCAGGGATCCAGTGATGACCTCACCCGAGCCGATTCTTCGGATGCAGATGCCGACATCTCCAGTAAGGGAAAGTGGCAGCGAAGCCTGCGGCTTCAGAGCCGGTTTCATACTGGGCATGTGCGAAGTGTGCTGCACTTTGTGAATGGTCCTGCAGTCTTATGGGACCTGTGATGTTTCCCAGAAGGCTGCAGGTGAAGGAAGGGCAAACCTCCGGCTCAGATCACTGCAGCGCATCTGACTGGACGTAGAAGTGAGTACCTGTCAAAACCAGGTACCCACTCCCCCCTCCCCTCCAAAAGTGCCAGATGTGGTAGTGGAAGGGGGGGTGGTAAACAAGCGCAGCTTTCCCTGCTTTAAGGGCTCACGCACACAGGACTACAAAATGCCACTTTTCCAGGTGTATGGCATTTCTGCTTGTAAACGCACCTCTATGTAGTCTATGTCTCCATGCACACACAGGCTTTTACAGGCGTATTACAAGATGAACGCTTACAGGCTGAAAACCCATCACCAGCGCTTTCAACAGAGGGGCTTATGGGTGGAAAAAACGTGACGGGTATAGCGCTTGAGTGCTCATTTGAATGGTCAGGATAAATAAATATTCTGGCCAATGGAATCCATAAATGCTCAAATGCGTGATGAGCCTAAACGCCTGCACTAAAGCAGCTATCAGTGTGATTTTTAAGCAGCTTTCCTCCTGCCAGCAGGAAAGGTATTGAGTGCAGCTGAGCAGACAACCAGTGTGCGTGAGACCTCAATCCGCCTGAATTATAGGCATTGCGAACTCCATTCACCGTGTTCATCCAAAATGACAACCATGCAGGGCACGTGCTACGTCTAGCCCTGTCTATACCCCAATGATATCACTAGATGGCGCTCTTCTCAGCTGCCTGCCATGTGCAGATATGTGGCCTCTGCTACGGAGGCGTGGCCTGTGTGTGATGTGATCACATGACTTCGTCCTCCCCCTGTCTGGTGTCACAGCCGGGCTGCCCTTCCCTGTGTACAGTGAGTGTGTGTGTGTCTGTCTTTGTGGTGCCCCCTTTGCTGCCTGTCTGTGTGGTGGGGCCATACATCTCCCTGTCGTCACATCCCTTCTGCCAGCATTAATCCCAGCCGGGGCTGTGGGGATGGAGCTGTACACACGTGACAGCCACGACTCTCTCACTTCCGCTTTGCAGGTCCTGTGACCCCTCAACTAGAACTAAGGACACTACTTTCTTTCTTCTTTTAGTTTTGAACAGAGTGGAGGTGGATTAGACCCCCTGTCCGGTTTTATTGCTGTCTGTGGCCCCCATTAGGGAGATTCTCCCTCCCTATTAGTCCTGTTTACCATTATCACCAAAAGGGAAAGAAAAACCTACATTTTGTGTTGTCACCAGAACAGGAATAGAGGGGAAATCTTCCAATGGGGACACTAGTTCTGGTAGCAACCAGGGATTCCCTCACTTTGGAGAAAATTCCTCTCACGTCCTGTTTTTGCTATAGAACAGAAAGTGAAGGGAAATCCCCTCCCACCATGGGACACAGATGGCCGAACTAGGAATAAAACCCTCCCTTAGTCCCGGTTCACATGCGACGTTAGGGTAATATTCCCATCGCACATGTTCCTGGATCAGACTCGGAAGTAGCAGATGCAGCAACATCCAGCTGGAGACTGGAACAATCAAAGGTGAAAATTCATATTTGCCAGCACACCACGGATCACCAGTGTTGTCTGAAAGGCTATTTTTATTGAAGAATGATCGCATCACAAAAAGAAAGGTGCAACGTATCAGAGTCACGCAGGACCCCTTTGTGAGGTCAGACATGTGATCACATACCCGACGAAGGGGTCCTGTGTGGCTCCAATATGCCGAAGAATGATCGCAAAACAAAAAAGTGCAACGTATCGAGTCATTCAGGACCCCTTCGTAAGGTCAGACATGTGATCACATACCCGACAAAGGGGTCCTGCACAGCTCCGATATGCAGAAGAATGATCTCATCACAAAAAGAAAGGTGCAATGTATCGGAGCCATGTAGGACCCCTTCGTGAGGTCAGACATGATCCAATACCCGACGAAGGGATCCTGCGTGGCTCCGATACGTTGCACCTTTCTGTGATGCAATCATTCAACGTTTTCGGAGCCACGAAGGACCCCCTTCGTGAGGTCAGACGTGATCACATACCTGGCTAAGGAGTCCTGCGCAGCTCCGATATGCTGAAGAATGATCGCAAAACAAAAAAAGTGCAATGTATCAGAGCCATGCAGGACCCCTTAGGTCAGATGTGTGATCACATACCCAACAAAAAGGGGTCCTGCGTGGCTCCAATACGCTGAAGAATGATCACATCACCAAAAAGAAGGTGCAACGTATTGGAGCCATGCAGGACCCCTTTCTGAGGTCAGACGTGTGATCACGTACCTGATGAAGGGGACTTGCGTGGCTCGGATACGTTGAATGATTGCATTAAAAAAAAAAAAGTTGCAACATATCAGAGCCACAGAGGACCCCATTGTGAGGTCAGACATGTGATCTCATACCCAACAAAGGGGTCCTGCGTGGCTCCAATACGCTGAATAATGATCCACCAAAAGGAAGGTGCAGCGTATTGGAGCCTTGCAGGACCCCTTTCTGAGGTCAGACGTGTGATCCGATACCTGATGAAGGGTCCTGCACAGCTCAGATACATTGAATGATTGCTTAGAATAAAGAAAGGTGCAACGTATCAGAGCCTCTCAGGACCCCTTTGTGAGGTCAGACGTGTGATCACAAACCCGACAAAGAGGTCCTGCGTAGCTCCATATACTGAAGAATGATCGCATCACAAAAAGAAAGGTGCAACGTATTGGAGCCACGCAGGACCCCTTCGTGAGGTCAGATGTGTGATCACATACCTGACAAAGGTCCTGCGTGGTTGCGATACGTTGCACCTTTCTTTTTGTGATGCGATCATGTCTGGAGCCAATGTATTGGAGCCACGCAGGACGTTGCCCCTTTGTCAGATATGTGAGCTCAGGTGAGCTCAGGTCTGACCTCACGAAGGGGTCCTGCGTGGCTCCAATACGTTGCACCTTTCTTTTTGTGATGTGATCATTCTTCAATGTATTGTAGCCGCACAGGACCCCTTTGTCAGATATGTGAGCTCAGGTCTGACCTCACGAAGGGGTCCTGCGTGGCTCCAATACTTTGCACCTTTCTTTTTGTGATGTGATCATTCTTCAATAAAATCAGCCTTCAGACGACTTTGGTGATCTGTGGTGTGCTGCCAAATATGAACTCTGTTCTGCGACTTGACAGATCAAAGTCACTTGACAAGTCACACCCTATTTGCAGCTATGGAACCATTCAAATCGGTGCACGCTGACTTTGAAACCGGTTCCTGCACTCTTTTTTTGCAATTTAATGTGCAACTTGCATTGACATCTGAGCATGAAATCATACAGATGTTGGCAAGGCCCACATGAAATCGCACCAAAGTAGCATGATTTCAAAGGTACATTCAGCGTGAACCAGGGCTAGCTCTATCCAAAATGAAAAGTTCTATTTCAAAGCTGAACTCTAGGGAAAGTAAAAAGTCCTCCCTTGTAGTGGGGCAGTCACCGCACTGCAAGGGTTAAATGATCAATTCGGTCTAAGAGGTCAGGAAAAGTAGTTTTTCTTACCTGGTTCTCCGCGCTGTAAGATCGCTCCCTGTAGCTTCTTTATTTCATCGTTGATTGCAGGTCCTCTAATGTCATTAAGACCAATGCAGGGTTCATAGCCCTGCATTAGACATGAAGACACCAAGGAACAGTCAACCAATGGAGTGTAGGGGAGCAAAACTTGACACCAGAAGTGGTGGCACTTCCACGCTGCCAGCTATTTTCAGCACAGCCATTAGGGGGCGTAGACAAGGTGTGTCTGTTCACAGCACACCATTGCTGCATGTGCCGCTTCTTTTTTTTTTTTTCTTAGTGCTGGTTGTGATGCCATCCACCATTACATTGCTACAGTGAGAGCTCATGACGCTTCCATAAAGTTATGTCCAAAAAAAAGTAAAAAGTAAACAGTACGTTTTACCGTAATCGGCGATTGGCACTGTCTCACAGCACACCGGTGGAATCACTTGCTGATGTGAATGGGCCCTAAATCTGTCACTGAGCTGCATCATAGACTTCATACACATGAGCGCATTTGATCATGCAGCATAAGGCTAGGTTCACACCTATGCAGGTTGCTTTTGAGCCGTGTCTGCATTGTGTTTTGCACCTGCGTTTTTGACGTGTTTTTCATGCGTTTTGCATTTGTTTTTTAATTTTTTTTATTTTTCTGCCAGACAGATTTAAAATGCAAAACGCAGCAAAAACGCAATACATACTTTTCTGCAGCGCTTCCATTGAAGTCTATAGAACCAAAAACACAACTTTTTGCTTTCAAAATAAGTCCCTTTCCAAAAACCGCATCGGGTGAAAACGCGGAGATGTGAACATGTCCCATAGGAAATCATGTTAAATGGACTGTACTGTGTTTCTGCAAAACACTGCAGAAAACGTTAGATGTGAACCTGGGGTAAGGGTCCTTTCACACGGGCGTTCTGGTTTTTTCATCAGTTCAGTCACATTTTTTCCAAGAAAAATCTGATCAGTTTTGTTCACATCAGTTTGCATTCACATCAGTTTGCATCAGATCACATCAGTTTTCATCAGATCACATCAGTTTTTTTCCATCAGTTCACATTTTATCACATCAGTTTGCATATCACATCTGTTTGCATCAGTTCACATCAGTTTGCATGTTTTTTATCCATTTTTACATGCTGTTTTTACATCATGCTTTTACATTTTTTTTGTCCGTTTATATCCATCTTTCTTCCATTGCATTTTTTTTTAAACAGAAGAAAAATTGGGTTTTCTTCCATTTAAAAAAAATGGATGTTAACGGATGCGGACTTTAACGGATGTAAACAGATGATCATCCGCTAGTCCATAGAAATACATGGGTGTCCTTTTTTCATCCGTAAACAGACAGATGAAAAATGGACATACGGAACACCCGTGTGAAAGGGGCCTAAAGATGCTGTGTATTCCTGGAGGTTGGACTGTCCTGGAGCTGCAGAGAGCTGCCCATAGACCGGAATGGGTGAAGGTGGCTGAACACTGAACATGTCCAGCATTGGTGTTAGGACATTACATGCTACTTTACACAAATAGCGGCTCATACCTGTGTACAGCCGACGTCACTCATCCCTGTCTGGCTGGCTGCAGGCAGCTAGTTCAGTTACTACAGGTTGCAGATATAATAAGTACAGTATAGGTGTCCATGGAATATTACATTTGTTTTAAGGGCTCAAGGTTTTCACCTGCATGCATTCTATGAATAAAAAACCTTCTCAGTGCATCAGCCCCCCCAATACTTACCTAAGCCCCCCTCTCAATCCAGCGATGTTCACTGGAGTCTCAGCTATCCCGGGACTCCCTCTCCTCATTGGCTGAGACAGAAGCAGGGACCATTGGCTCCCACTGTTGTCAATCACAGCCAGTGAGCCAATGAGAATAGAGAGGGGGCATGGCCGAGCCATAGCTCCGTGAGTGCATGAACACACGGAGCAGTGGGTGCCCCCATAGCTTGCTGTGGGGGCACCCAACAGTAGGGAGGGACCAGGAGCTCCAGCGGGGGAACTGAGAAGAGGAGGATCCAGGCTGCTCTGTGCAAGACCACTGCACACAGCAGGTAAGTATAGACATGTTTGTTATTTGTTCTTTTGAAAAAAAATAGTCCTTTAGAATCACTTTAAGTTCATCACACACAATCTGATCGTACAATCTACCAACTAGTTAGGCTGGCCATACATTATACAATTTTCTGGTACAATTTTCCTTTAGATTTACCAAAACAACATAGGTTTTGGTAAATCTTAACACTTTCAGTTTGTATGCAGTCAGGAGGCCCTTACACTACACAGCTGATGGTAAATCTAAAGGAAATTGAATAAGAAAATTGTCTAATGTATGGCCAGCGTGAGTGGTGCAGGGACCTGCCTGATTGAATACAGATTGATGAGTTGCTTGTAGGACAAAGTTGTGGTAGATCTAAGGCTGATTGTATGATCAGATTGTATTGTGTATGGCTGCTTTAACACAGGTCAGGGTAGAAGAGTTTTCTGGTTGGGTAGGAAGTAAGGTTACCACCTTTAAACCCGAACACACATATTAATTACACAGGTTCTGTGGCTGATTAAGGTGGTAATTAAACTCACTCAGTGCTTTATCTGCATTAACTCCACCTCAGAGCCTGTGTAATTAATGTGTGTTCAGGTTTAACCTCTTCACGCCAGCCTAACGCAAATGTGCGACCTCCCTGTGTCTGGGCCTAGACGCCGAGCGGCCATACATTTGTGTTCTATTACAAAAAGACATATGTGCTGAGAGCGCGCTCCCCAGCACACATGTCCGGTACTCACAGAAAGGTCCCGATCTCCTCTTTCGATCGGGACCTTTCCCAATCATGTGACCGCCATGATGGCGTGTCACGGCGGTCACATAACTATAAAACCCCAGCCCGCCTCCTGGCTTCTGAAACCCTTAAAAGGCCGGGAGGCGCCGGCGTGAAGGGGTTGAAGGGATGAGGTGGCAACCCTACTAGGAAGGCTGGAGGTCCCATCACACAGCTGACCATGGCCAGTTGTAAAAAAGGTTTATTCATGTAAAGGCGGTAATAGATGGATCGAAATTCAGCTGATTCAGCAGGGACCGGCTGAACTTCAATCCATGTGTGACCACTGCAGTCTACCGATTGACTTCTGTTCAACCCGTCCTATCAGATAAAAGCTGTTCAATCAGTGCAGCAGCACTGATCTGTGTATTCGGGCAGCAGAGGAGTCCCCTGCTGTCATACTACAATAGTGCAGTAGGGAGGATTCTTCCATCCACCTTGAATGTGCAGATAAGGAATCCTTTCAGTTTTAATCGTTCAGCCCACTGGATGAATATAAAACTGAACAGTGTTTGGACATCTTAAGCAATGCATGTTGGTTTTGTCCTGCAGTCTGTATTCACGTACAATCTGTGTTGTAGATCTCCACTGTACAATCTGCCATGATTTGCTGGCCTCGTGTGGTTTTGTTTGGAGATTCCATCACTCAGGTAAGTTGATGTCTCTTATTACTCTTCATTAGTGTTCACACTTGAACTAACTCTGTCACGTATCTGGACAATGAACGTCATTGTAAGATGTATACATAGAGGTTATGTATGTCAAAGTGATCCAGATACATGCCGGGGTGAGGAGAACAGACATATATTTACCGATTACGCCAATCCTCCAAGCACAAGATTGGTCCCTGCCACTTCTGCCCCCCCCTGCATATTAGTGGTCTTGTGAATGGACTGTTCCTGACGTCATCGCGCCCATAGACCAGCTCTTGGTGTAAGACCGGCAGGAACAGTCCACTGCTGGACGTGGGGGAGCACTGTTTTCCAGAGGATTGAGTAAGTATAGTCTTTTGGTGCACCCCTGGACAAAACGAGCAGTTAACCCATGCAGTGCAGGCACAAGAGAAAACATTTTTTTCATGGGAGTTCTGCTTTAATAAAAAAAAATGTGGATATAAGGATTTTACTTCCCTGTCGAATACAAAAAAATCTACTCTTGCAGTTGGCCCCTCTGCACTTCAAGGGTTAAATGCTAGTCAAGTCTAAGGGGAGATGACATGGCTGTGACATTTGCATTACCGCTTCAGCCAGCTCCAGCGCTCCCCCCTCTACGGCGCACCTGCGTCCTCATGTACAATGCAGGTCTACGAACAATGTATTTTACATGCTGGAGGTCAGCATATGATTGCGGCTGTCAGTGACTTAGAGACATCCATGCTGTTTAGTGTGGATGGGGATTTCTCCCATTCTGTTCAACATGTAACAAACGTATGGCCAGCTTTAGTATCTCTGAAGCAGAAGCAGGTAATATTTTGCTCTGTTTGCTATAACCATTTTTGTAGAATCCCTCTGAACTTGCCTGGTGAGGATTGTCTTGTGTCCCCAAAACTGGCATTCCCTGTAATTGTCTAGAAATTGCCACTGTGCTATAAAGTGGACTGCACTCTCGGTATACATCATAGCTCAATATGAATGACCGTGTTGCCATCCATCGGCCAGCTTTTCCCTTCACTATGTGATCTGCCATGATAAAGCAAAGTGGTTTTTGTGCAGCACAGAGATTTTCTTTCAGACTTGTTCAATCTTCAGGCCCAAGGTTACCTTCTCTGTACAGGTCCCTGTCACTATGTACTTTCTGTTATATGTAGCTTCAGACATTAGCTGTAAAATCGAATCATTTGATGATTTTCTCCTCTAGTTTGCTTTTGAAGCGAATGGATGGGGAGCAACCCTGGCTGATAAACTTGTAAGGTGAGTTGAATCGTCCGTGACTTGCATGCTTTTCTCTACAAAGTTCAAGTGAACGATGGAGACTGCTGTTATTTGAGCCTTTTGTTTTGCTCCACATTGAGACAGCACAGGTTCACTTTAAATATATCTATTTTTGCCACAACCCCAGGCATATTTTGTTTTGTGTTTAAAGAATTCAGGGAAAAAAAAAAAAACTATTTTCCCGCCCTCACTACATTGGTTAGGTGCTCATCTTTATCTAGGGGTGAGGAGAACAGAGATATATTTACCGATTACGCCAATCCCCTAAGCACAAGATTGGTCCCTGCCACTTCTGCCCCCCTGCATACTAGTAGTCTTGTGAATGGACTAATCCTGACGTCATCCCACCCATAGACCAGCTCTTGATGTAAGACCAGCAGGAACAGTCCACTGCTGGACGTGGGGGAGCACTGTTTTCCAGAGGATCGAGTAAGGATAGTCTTTCGGTGCACCCCTGGACAAAACAAGCAGTTAACCCATGCAGTGCAGGCACAAGAGAAAACATTTTTTTCATGGGAGTTCTGCTTTAATAAAAAAAAATGTAATTCTGTTCTCATGTGTGCAGCTCCAGGATGTCTGAGGGGTATCTTTCTTGGGCCGCAAGAAGCACTATAACATACAGAATAAAGGGAACTGTTCAACAAATGTAGTTGCATTGCGGTTGCAGGCACCACGACTGTAGAAAATAAATAGTCCATCCTGCATGAGTGAGTGAAAAGCAGGTACCACAAGAACAGCCCCTTCTGTGCTCCCCTCTGGTTTAGTTTCACTTTACTGGGCCCAACACTGATAAAGTCCACCATCTGCAATCCCCCTTTCCAATGAGACTGCTTCATTGGGCAGTGATGGTGCTGTCTTTGCACAGGGGAATAGAATTTAGTGGAGCAAAGCCAAGGCGTCAGGCCTAAGTAACAAAGTAAAATTTAAAGTGGAACTAAACCCTCCTATCCCTTACAGCCAAGGAAGCTGCCATCTTAGCCTCTGATCTTCTCTTGCGATGGTGCTGCACTAATTAGGCTCCATTCACACTAGTGTAACTCCAAAGTAGCACGATTTGAGTGTGACTTTGGAGTGCAACTTTGGATGTGTGAGAACTGGATGCGATTTTGGCTTTGACCAATGACAGTGGACAGCTGTTGCACAACTGTTGCATGTATAACATTCAGGTGTGACTTTTGAGAGTTTACAATACAGTTTATAGCACTCAAGTCGCATGAAAGTTAGACCAAAGTAGTGAAGGAACATTTTTAAAGTTGCTATTTGAGCGATTGTCATTGCAAAACATTGGGTACGACTTTTCATGCCACTTTAGTGTCACATGTCGCATGACAAGTTGCACCAGTGTCAATGGAGCCTTAGGACACCAGCCTTTTGGTGTCTAGACAGTTTAGCTGAGAAAACAAGTGACTGTGACAGTTATAATTTACAAAGTGCCCTTAATGTAACTCATTTGGGAAACTTAAATCAATGAGTTTAGTTCCACTTTAATGCAGAACTATAATCACCTCCTCTCCAGCAATGTTACGTCCGTAAGGGCCCTTGCTGGTGTCAACATCTACGCCAAGTCGTCTTCCAGGTCCGGGATCTTCATCCAACTTGACTGGCCAGGCCTTGATGATGTTACTTCCAAGCATGCACAGGAGTTCATTGATCCAGACAGATGCCAAAATTGTACACAGAATTGCTCAGTGTGGTATAATCAGGAAGATTTTATACAGGGAGGTAAGAATCCTTTATTGCAGAAAAGACGTGGTAAGTCTCTACTGCAATAAACAACCTACCTGTTCACTCATTTTTAGATTTTATGCAAAGTTCCGCTTAATCAGAGAGGAGCACATCTTTATTTTGGGAGGCATCTTATAGTGTTTGTTCATAAGCAGGGCTTATGGATGGAATACATGCTTACTTCAGATACAAGTGATGTCAACAATATGATTACATTCATTTTATTTGTGAAACATATATAAAAAAAATTCTACATAATGTAACCTCTATGTAGAGCCACATTTTTGTTAAAATAGAAACCCCCTCTTATGCAGGCCATAGACGGGTCAAAAATTGGCCGGTTTAAAAAAAAAAACAAAAAAAAACCCACAAAAAATCGGTCATTCGATCGGGCTGACGTTACCACCAACGGTAAAAAAAATTGGCCGATTTTCGTCCTGTCTATGGCCGGCATTTAACCCCATAATTACTTCTGTCCCTTGCAGAGACAGGGGAGCAATACATAAGAAGAAGAAGAAGAATTCCAGTCCACTATTCTATTTTATATCAAAAGTCTTGCGGTTGCAACAATGTATCCATTTTGGATACAGATGGTTTTATTCGGATACAAATGGATACATTGTTGCAACTGCAAGACTTTTTCATATAAAATATAATAGCAGACTGGAATTCTTCTTCTTCTTCTTTTTTTCTTCTTCTTTTTTCTTCTTCTTGCAGGTCACGGCTCATGCGCAGATTTTTTTTATCGGTAAAACGATCGGCCGATTTGCCCATCATTGCCGGGAAAATCTTCCAACATGCCCGATAAAAAAAAAAAAATGTGCAAAAAGCCCGAAAAACAGCCAACCAATTAACCCACTAACGGTGCGAAAATTGGCCAATTTTTTTTTTTTTTCCGGGCTGAAAAATCGGCCGATTTTTGCCCGTTTATGGCCAGCCTTAGAGTTTTAGCAGTGATATGGAAGAATTTAAAGGGCAGAATTGTGTGGTCCCTTCTATGGGAAGGCTCAGACATGGCATAGATCCCTCCTGGCTCCCTGTGGGAGGAGCACAGACTTTTAATTTAGTGGTTGTTTTAGCAGATCAGCTTATTTGCATATTGTTGGCTGTACTTGAATTGCTTTGACTAAGAGGACATGTCCTCTATTTATGGTTGTATAACAGGATGGCTGAAAGGCTATTTATAGTGAAATATTTTCTTGCCCTGACAGGAAGTGCGACGTCCTTAACCGCGGTCTGTCTGGCTACAACACCAGATGGGCAAAGCTCATTCTACCAAAAACTGATCGCCAAAAGCTCTGATTCTGAAACCATTGCTGCAGTCACCATTTTCTTTGGTGCTAATGACAGCTCCCTGAAAGGTAAGCCAAACTGACTCAGTGGATGTTTAATTCAATGTATTGATTTTCCCTACGTGGGGCAATTATAGTCATAGTTTGAGATAAATTATTTAAACTCTGAATTTGATTCCCCCTATTTGTAATTTGCTACATAAGAGTTTATATTGATTGCAAGATCTTAGTCAATATTTTGAATAATGGAATCCTGTACAGAAACAAATATGGAGGTTGCCATTGTGGACCTCCTCCTGACAATGTTGGTTTCCTTGTTGTCTGTCCTCAATACTTTGAGTCACACAGCCGGAGCAAGCAAAGTCATAATCAAGTCAGAGCACCTAAGTTCCATGGTTTGTGGCATGCAAGTCAGTGACTCGCAGAGTACTGAAGACTCTGGACTAGTATGACAACCAGTAAAATAGCATTTATACAAGAACAAGTTAGCTAGGGCAATTCCTATATATCCTCAGTACAAGTTTTTTTTTTTTTAAACACAGGTAACAAAAGCAGCCAGTGAACAGATAGAAACATAGAAAAGTGACAGCAGAAAAAAGACCAAGTGATCCATTGAGTCTGCCCGTCTTTTTCCTTGTTTTTGTTTTGTTTTTCTTTGTTGCTTTACATGTTTTGTATTTTGTGTCAGCTCAGAAAGTCCATTTTTGTCTGATTTCTAAATATGAATTGCATCCAGCATCGTTAGACTGTATATAATCTTGTACTGTAATTAATAAACATTTCTACAAGGACTGCAACCTTCTGCCACACATTTCATACCCCAAAATGAGTGGGCAGAGGTAAAACTAGGGAACACACATAGAAAGATAGGCTCAGTCATCATGGATGTAAACATTTTTGGCAGACTGGAATATACCTTTAAGGTACCCATAAATGCCAGAGATCATTACACAGTGTGTTCTACAATATCAGTATGTACAGTCACAGCAGACAGCTTCTGGAGATTTTGGTTGCTTGAAAGTCTCATCCTGCAGCCTGGACATTTTTTTTTATGGATCTCCTCTAGTCTGTACTGGTGCAATGGCTTAAAAGCTATGCAGAGCCCATGTAGAATATACTTGTTGGGGGGCCTATATAGGGGGAAGCTTTACTGATTCTGTGTGGTGGTACAGTGATGAGCTTGGGTGTGATCCACAGCCACGTGTACTAGCTTGCCAGGCTGTCACCTTTACAGCCAATAATCGACATCCATGGAGTCTGGATTCAGATAAGTGGTCTCTTCCCCAGGAGGTGTTTCGAGATCTTTGTTGCTGGTGGGGGATACTGGATATGGACCTCCTGGTTCAACAGCAAACTGCCCAAGTTTTGTCTCCAGGTCCAGGGATTCACTAGCGTTCTTAGTGGATGTACTTCTGACTCTGTTATGTAGTTTATCCTGATCTATGTCTTCCCACCTTGTAGCTCCTTACTCGCCTGCTCCACAGGATCAATGTGTAGAGCATTCTAGTGGTTCTCTTTGAATCAGACTGGTCCAAGCAAATGTGATAATTGGACCTCATCAGACTCTCTGTGGGCCCTTCCAGATCGTCTGGATCTTCTCTCCCAAGTCCAGCTTACCATGCTGCTTCTTGGTTACTGGCTTTAATGGCCTGGCTCAATTTGGTGTGTATTGCTAGAGAGGTTTTTTTTTTTCTTGGAGAGTGGTGGCCCTGTGCTGATCACATGCAATCGGCGCTGTCCAGACAGAGTTCAGGGGTTCTGAACCCCCCCCCTACATGCTTTAACCAGTGCTCTGCTGAACACTGATAGAAGTCACAAGACTGCTCTAACTGCTGATGATAAAAGGTATTTAGGAGTTTATATTTACTAAAATAATTGCATTTCCATATTCTGTGTACTGTGGGAGACCAGATATAGTGAATGCAGGGTCCTGGGTTTAGTAACACTTTAAGTACCCTCTAGAGTCCAATTTTGGCCCTAATGATTGTATTTTAAAGACCTCTCCCCTCTCACTTCTTAGTGCAGGCCTTTGTTCAAGATATTGCTCACATTATCCCTTCAGTTGGGTGCTATCGATTCCTCAAAAATTGCCCTTTTAACCTATCCAAGATGTTCCTTTTTCTACGCTTGCTTGCAAGGTGGCCTTCGTCATCACTGTCATCCCTGCAAAGCAAGTTTCTAAGTTCGAGGCTTTATCCTATCGGAAGCTATTTGTGTGCTGCACAAAGGGAAGTTTGTGCTGTGTCTACATTTGCACAAATGACTAGCTCTAGTACAAATGACAGGTGTCATAATTGCTCCTGATTTAGCCACCAGCAGCAACCGCTGAGACCCGTACAGTTCGCCGATGGCTGCAGCTATCCGTGACTATCCAAAGGGCCAGTAATTACCTGCAGCTGGACACACTTTGTAGTCTCTCCAGGCCCACAGTAGAGTGACCCTACAAATTAAACACTACAAATTTATGCAGCAGTCTTTTTTTTTATGTCTAAAGAAAATGGAGCCATATATAGGCAGCATTAGAGAACAGTTCCAGCTGTTGGTATGATGGGTTACATGTCATGTTTGTCCCCATATAGATATTTTGCAGTTGGAATGTCCTTCAGTGATAATGAGAGGACTCCCACTGGGATAAAAACTTGGCAGCTGAAGGACAGATCTTTATACATAATTATATTATCTCTATCCTTCCACAGAGGATAACCCTCAGCAGCATGTTCCTCTGGACGAGTATGCAGACAATCTGAGGGCTATGATCCACTATCTGCAGTCTTTGGACATCTCACCAGACAGACTCATCCTGATTGCTCCACCACCCATCCATGAGCCTTCCTGGGAAAAGCAGTGTTTTATTAAAGGTATTAAATTGCTTCATATTGTACATCAAGGCCATTATGTGACTGGGGTAGCTGTGAGCATTTTGTGAAACTGGGTGCCCCAGGTTTTTCACAATCCTAGCGGAGGAGAGCAGTAATGGCTAAATTCCTCTTGCAGTTGGAAAAGCATAACAGATTACTGTTAAATAAAAGCAGAACATACTGTTGTGTGTAAGGAGTGCTGTTGCACAGAGAACAGGGGAAAGGGGTGCGTAATACAAAGGGTGCAAGGATCAGAAGTTGTAATGCATAAAGTACATGGTTCAGGAGTTCGTAACACACAATATACAAGTCAAGACTTAAGTAAGCACAGAGTGCCTCCCAAGGTAAAAATCTCTTCCACCCAATACAACCCCAATCCCACCCCCACCTCCAGCACAAATTCCCCCTCCCTCCGTTTCTGAAGTGCACTTATCAGTCTCAAAGCTGCAAACGCATATCATTTTTTTTCTCTTGTATGCAGCTGCAGGCTTCTGTCCCTGCTCACCTCCTATTGAGCCTGCAGCATAGAGCCAACCACAGCAGCACCCAGGGATAAAGAACATTGGTTGCACTGTTGCATTTAATCTGTGCAAGTATATTACTTATGCGTCAGTTCAGTCCTGACTTCACCTGGTCCTAGTTTCTGCATCAGAGCAGCTCAGAGAGGCAGCAGCTGAGATGTTGTATTGGTAGGTGGACACAGGGCTGGCGTGGTTGTCACATTCTGCTTCACAACAGGAAAAGCCTATTCTCTATAGCAATTCTGTTCCCACTGTCAAACACATGTTGGGGTGGAGTAAATGACAGCCCAGACGACATCCCTGTCTCTGCACAGGGATGCAGTGGTCAACTTTAAAAACAAAATGGCAGGCATTGCAGTCTTGGGAATGAGGGCACCCAGCAGGAGAGGCAGGGCACATGCCCCAGGTGCATGGTGCTAGCAACTCTGTGGTGTTAAATGATCATCATACAGTTTAAGAAAATGAACACAAAAAGCATTCATTTAGGGGATCATTATATAAACTGGAGTCGTTAAAAGAGTAAAGCCAAGAACAAAAATGTATTTATATTGCAGCTTACCAATCCTTAGATGTGGTGGCACATTCGTTTTGGATCCCATACCTGGACCCCACTGTGTGGATGTGTGACACTAGCCTAGAATATGACCTTCCGGCACAGGGATCTGCACTGTGGTGCTTTCCAGACCAGTACAGGGTTAGTTAACCACAGAACTCTTTATGTACTGGTCCAGAGCCGTGGTACAGCCAGAATTGTGAACCTGTCTCTGAAGACCCAGTGAGTAAGGCTAGCCACGCTCAAGCCCCAAGAGCTACCTCATTAAAATCATGATACGGGTACAAAGCACCACAAAATGAAAAAAAAAGTTTAAAAAAATTAAATATTAATGGCTCAATAAAACAGAAATAACACAAAATTGGCAAAAAAATAACAGCTTAGGGAAGAAGGTTGAAGAAGGAGTTAATTAGGGCACGGTGTTGCATTGTATTTCTTTATCTCCCATTTGATCAAAGGATCTGTTTTTTGACAGAAGCTGCTGTGTATCGGCTATTAGGCCCTGTTCCTACACTGCATAGCAGGAGCAAGTGATCCTGCTTGCAATTTTTTAAAGCGCGATTTGCACACGGAAATGCACGTCATGCATAGGACAGTCCATTCACTTCAAAGGTCCTGATCCTTTTAGAGCAACAAGCTCAGCACAATTTTTAGCCCTGTATATTGCAGTGATTGCCACTGGAAAATCATGCAGCAGAGTTGCACTGCATTTGGGGTGCCCACTATTTCAAACAGGGCCTTAGATGTGCCACTGGTAATTTGGCACCAAACATTCATAGCATAGCTTTGTATTTGCTTTGCTTTATCAGCATTATATTATCACCACAGCTATGTTCATAGTAGTTGTTATTGTTGTGGTAGTGTACTATTCTCTATAGTGATAGAAACATTATCCATAAAAGAAACACAATACTAAAAGTAATCCTGAGGTTTGGGGGGTTGGGTTCAGGTTATTACATTTATACATGGTTATGGCTTAGTGACTATTGCTCTTTGGATGTGATAATTGTACATTAAAATAAGACATGTTGGCATTGTGGCAGATGTTAGTCTTTTAAAATAGGCCTTCATTGTTCTTACGAAGACCTCTGCCCGTATGTGACCAACCTAACTTTGTGGCTCAGAGTTTGAAATATCCGAAGACAATCTAGTGTGATCGCATATGTGTGTGTCCTTATTAATCTTTGCTGTCATCACCCAGGATATAAACTGAATCGTTTTGAACTCTATTGCCGGGGAATATGCTAAAGCCTGCGTTCGTGTTGGCCAAGATTGCGGCACTGAGGTTCTGGACCTGTGGACTCTAATGCAGGATCGGGGTCAGGTGAGGATTTAAGTGTCTTTCACATAAATGTCTGTAGAGAATAAGCACTTTTTGAATGCATGTACAGCACAAGGTGATAAGCACGCCCATTCCAAAAGATTGCTAGCTTGACTTTTCACTGGCCATAAATAACATGTAACATCACTATCTACTGGCAGGTTCTTGATATTGCACAATACAGTAAGTACATTTTTTTTTTTTTTAAGTAGAACTACACACCTTATTATTATTATTTTATTATTATACAGTATTTATAAAGCGCCAAAATACAGAACAATACCAATACAATGCAGAACATGTGAGGGGATCAAGGGCCCTGCTCTTTCGAGCTTACAATCTAGGAGGGAGGGTGGTGGTGGCACAGGAGGGAGATAGCTGTGGGGGATGGAGTGGTAGGAAGAGTGGAGGAGGTCGGCAAGTTAGCAGGGGGTGGGGTAGGCTTCCCTGAAGAGATGGTTTTCAGGGTGCCTAAAGGAGAGGAGAGTAGGTGATAATCTGATGGGTGACACCCTGGAGAAGTCCTGGAGGGCGGGGCATGGAGGAGGGAGACCAGGGAACTAGAGAGAAGGAGGTCTTGTGAGCGGAGTGTGTGTGCTGGGCGGTACTTGGATAGGATATTAGGTCGGTTGTAGGATATTGAATTTGATCCGTTGCGCAATCGGAAGCCATTGAGTGGATGGGATTGGGGCAGGAGGGGGTGGGTGGCGGAGATGGAGCGGTTGGAAAGGTTGGCAGCCGTATTCCTGAGAGAGCTCAATGATCATGAGGGAGTTGGTGACACCCAGTGGTTTCATCGGGAGGAGGGGTAGGAAGGAGGTCGTGCGGATTTTGGCGATGTTATTGCGGAGGTGCAGTGCACTGTTTTGATGACAGCCTTCCTGGACAAGGGTGATGTTTGAATTGCCAGGATGGACTTAGCCTGCACGAAGCTACCGGCTGCCTGTCATGCTGGTTCTGTTGATTCAGTTAAGTCACTTCAGAAGAGGTCCTTATCACTGTACTTGTTTAGTCAGTGACAGAGCCAAGGTACAGCATGACAGCCAGGTACAGAGAACTAGCATTTTCAGAAGGAGAGGTCTGCAATAGAAGCCTTCCTTTATGATGGTTTCCTTTGAAACCCGTAATGGTAGGACTACAAGAGGAAGATTATGTTGTCCTTGCACCTGGTGTGCACACGGTGTCCCAGGTCATCGATTGGCAAGTAGTGAAGATAAAGATAAGAATGACAGCCCTAAATGTTACACCTTAGCAGAAGCAGCTTCCATATGCCATCTGTGATGGGTTCTTTGTATAAACCCAATATAACCCCGCCCACTCCCAGCAAGCCTCAGTTTCGTAGCAAGCAATACTGAGTACATCTGAAGAAGAAGAGGGGAGGGACCCATGTCCTGTAATGTATTGCAAGAAAAGGATTTTACAGGTACCGTATATACTCGAGTATAAGCCGAGTTTTTCAGCACATTTTTTGTGCTGAAAAACTGCCCCCTCGGCTTATACTCGAGTCAACGTCTGCAGATGACATGCCGTCCCTGTCATTGGACACACCCCCGGGATCAATCCTCGCCGGTGATTGGCCGCCGGAACTGTAGCTCAGGAGAGGCACACAGGCGCCCAATCACCGAGGAGGAGGTGGAGCTTGGAGAGGAGGAGCCGAGCGGCACCGCGAAGATCGAGCAAGTGAAGAGGAGGAGAGCGGCCGGAGAAGGAAGACATCTGACCGGTAAGTGTGTACCATGGGAGAGGGAGGGAGCGAGCGAGCCCAGGCTGGAGCAGGGGTCACCAACGATGGGGCACTATTCCTCCCCCCACTGACACCAACGATGGGGCACTATTCCTCCCCCCACTGACACCAACGATGGGGCACTATTCCTCCCCCCACTGACACCAACAATGGGGCACTATTCCTCCCCCCCACTGACACCAACGATGGGGCACTATTCCTCCTCCCACTGACACCAACGATGGGGCACTATTCCTCCCCCCACTGACACCAACAATGGGGCACTAGTCCTCCCCCCTCAGCTTATACTCGAGTCAATAGTTTTTCCCAGTTTTTTTTTTGTGGTAAAATTAGGTACCTCGGCTTATATTCGGGTCGGCTTATACTCGAGTATATACGGTAAGTCAGAAATCCTGTTTTCTCTATCATACATTACCGGACACATGATCAAACCATGGGACATCCAAAAGCAGTCTGAGGGGGTGGTCAACACTGCAACAAACACTTAACAGGCCAGTGGTTAAGAGGAGGGCTTGATAGGACTCACAGCAGCTTGAAGCACTTTCTGACAGAACCTGATATCAGATGAGGCCTGAACAGTCACTTGGTAAAACCTAATAAATATGAGAATAGCAGACCAGGTTGCAGCCTTGTAAAACAGATGTTTGATGTTGAAGAGCCCATAAAGCACCTTGACAGAGAAGGGTGGAACCAAAGCTTGTAGGCTATAGGCTGAACTAATGACTTGCCTAATTCACCTGTAAATGATGAAGTGAGAGGCAGGGTGTCCCTGAAGGGGACCTTCAAGAATGACAAAGAGAATCCGAGTGATTAACCACTTGCCAACCGCGCTATAGTCGAATACAATGTGCTACATATCCTACAATGTGAACATCCTAGGAGAAAGACAGATCCAGGACAGGTGTTAGCGTCGCAGTTCAGCAGCAAAGCCGCCACTGATCTGTTACTTTTAGTCCTACAGAACAGCAGACAAGTCAATCTGTTGCTTACATTGCTACAGGTCAGCTGCAAACCTGATCTCTTACCTGTAGTTCCACATATAGTCTATTCCTGCACGGCTGTTTAAACTGGTCTGGCAGCTTTAGGACCTGCTGTTTAATATAGCAGTTTTGCAGGTCGTTCCTGTGTGGTCTGTCATTGAGCAAGATGTCTACAACACTGACTGTTCTTTAGGAAATCTTGAATCTCAAACATCACTGAAGGTTATGTAAACCCTAACAATGAATTTATCTTTTTTTTTGCTCCCATTTGGCTCATGAAATATACCACTGAAAGAATTTTGTTGTTCAAGTGTGAAAATACCTATTGATCCTGCCAGATACCCATTGAGCTTTTAGCTTCCTGTAGGGAGATTACAATGCTACATTGAAATTCAAACAATTTTATCATGCCTGCCTCAGCTTTCTCTGTAGACTTCCACCCCATGTTAGGGAGATGTGGGAGGCCTTCTGTAGTGTAAATCAGTAATCAACAACCAGTTGACACTGTACAGCAAATGTTGTCATACTAGGGTAGGATCACCAGGTAAAATAAAAAGGAAAAAAAAAATGCAGCCACCACATCTAAGGAATGGTATGCTGCCATATGTTACACTTTTGTTCTTTGGTTTAGATATGCTTTAATTAACTTGTTTGCAAATGACATAATAAAGTATGCCATATATACTGATATTTTCTTTCATGTATTCTCAGGACTATACAGTGTATCTGTCGGATGGGCTTCACTTATCTGACAAAGGTAATGAGTTTCTGGAGTCCAAATTGTGGCCAATTTTGGAGAAGAAGCTGGGTGCTCTACCCTTCCTTTTACCGTATTGGATGGATGTGGACAATAAAAACCCAGAGCCCTCCCTATTCCCCACCAGCCCAGAGAAGAGCTAAACAGACAGCCATACCACCACTGTGAATGTAGACTGAGGAATTCTGCACCCAGCATCCTGCTTGCAGATCTGATACTACCTCTTACCAAGCCTTGCTGTTTTTACACTGTCCTAGTACACAGTACTTGCCAGTTGGATCAGGCATGCAGTATGGTGGTGGTGGAGAATCCATCAGCATTTGGAACTTTCCAAAGCAAAGGGTAGAATTCTGTGAATTAATCCATCAGACATCTCTTTAATGTTAGTAGCCAATGTGGCAATAATGATATGATACTCACTAGGAAAAGAAACTTGCTGTGCTATGCTGCACTGAAGAGAATTCTAAAATTAGCATTTTAAGATTTGCAAGAAGTTAAAGTGGGCCCCCAACTAAGTGATTTTTTTTTGGTATGTGACTGTACTTTTCAGTATTTAGATCCAGCAGTAAGAGTCCTCAGACAATGTTCTTCCCTCACTTCTTATTCTGATCACGGTATTAAAGAAGATCTTAACGCTCAAACTTTAATGTCTATTACGTTACCCTAAATTGTTAAAGTTGTTTCCAGTCTCTTTAAGGCTTCATTTAGATGTGTGGTTGTATTGAATTTTTGCTGCTCGCCAGCTGCCCACCACTTAAGCTGCAATAGGCAGTGGAGAGGGATGTATACATGTCGCAGTCGTGATGCTTCTCTTCCGCAGCAAAATGTACCCAACATGTAATGATCGGTGCATAGCAAGTGTGCCAAATGCTACACGCTCAAGCAAATAGGGAATTGCCACAAACATGTCACATTGCCTTGTCAGTAGCCTCTGAAGTGCGATCTGAATGCAGATTGTGCTTCAGACCATTGCCTCAAAAGCAATCCCCCAATCATACAGGCCTTCTTTTAATTAAGTAAATCTGTTTTTTTAGATGCCTGGAGTAAGACTACAGCTCTCAATGTACTTCTGGGCTGCTTAGAAGTATGCTTTGCAGGTCTCCTTGACCCCAGCGCTCTCTCTTTTTCCTAGCCATTTACAAAACAAAGCCAGAGGCTATGTGTTTTTTTTTTTTTTTTTTCCCCAAGGCCAGTAGCAGAGGGAGGTGGGGACATGACCGTAGCATTGGTGTTTATGGGACCCGCAGCACGTGTAAGTGGGAGCTTTACTTTTCCAGTCATATAAATTAGCAGATTTGCCTAATGTCGAAGAAAGCCTGCATGACAAGGTTTGGTTTTGAGGTGATAGAATGTAGAGCTGCTTGAACACATCTACTGGTAAATTTATTGTGCCTTAACTGCTAGATGCCGAGCGCACACAAATATGCGGCCTCTGGGCCTTGACGCCAGGTCGCCGCATATTTACGTACCATTTGAAAATACATATGCGCTGAGAGTGTGCGACCTGCGCACTCCCAGCACATGTGTCCGTGACTCAGGGAAATGTCCCGATCTCTCCTTGCGATCAGGACCTTTTCCAATCATGTGACCACGAATCATGGAGGTCACATGACCCTAAAACCCCACCCCAGCTTCTGAAACCTCTTAAAGGGCCAGGAGGCGCAGGCACAAAGGGGTTAAGCTGGACTATACATATTTCTGGTGATCCTGCCATGAAGGTCCTTGTTCAGGCACTTCCTCTAATGGAGTGACACTCATCTTCCAATTGTCACAATAAATGATGTAGCGCTTACTACTTGAATAACACAAGTGCATAAGTGAATATCAGAAATGAAAGATATATGAATGAAACATACATAAATAAAAACTATGTGAAATAAGACAAAATACACAAGGTGACTTCAACCTCATAGGCTCTTATCTATATACTGTGATGTCCAAATACGAAGCCTGATCCTCCAGGGATCATAATAACTACTCACATTTTATCTGCCTGGAGAGGAGGTTTGCCACCATTAAGCCTATCCTTGAAGGGGAGACCATTATAGGGAGAGTGACGTGGTACCAGAGGAGTCTCAAGCATGGAGGATCCAGTGTAGTGATCCTAAAGGTGTTTTGGCCCTTTGCGGGTCGAGGCAAGGAGGTGAGCGTGCATTACAGCCATTTGTGGATACCTTCTTGTCGTCACATACACCTACCACCCACATTCACGGGGGTTTGTCTTATTGGAATACGTGGCGTTTGCTACACCATTCTGGACATTCACCTGCTTATTTGCATTTATACGCCTTTTTTTAGTGTTATGCGTCTTCTAGTGATTCTTTTGTGTATTCACTTCCCGTGACAGTTTATATGAATCCCAATTTGGTTACATTTGATGCACTAGTCCCATTTGGATGCTCACCATCACCTTTAGATCCAAAATAGGATCAATTCACACACACATTTTGGGTGAGTATTGCCGACACTTTCTTTTATCACTTAGTTTATTGTTTTTCACGTTATCTGTTTTCACTATTATGATCCCTTGAGGATCAGGCTTTGTATTTGGACATCACAGTATATAGTTCAGAGCCTATGAGGTTTCAGTCACCTTGTGTATTTTGTCTTATTTCTCATAGTTCTTATGTATGTTTCATTCATATATCTTTCCTTTGTGATATTCACTTATGCACTTGTGTTATTCAAAGAGTAAGCACTACATCATTTATTGTGTAATTTGCTTACAGATCATTAGGTATATGATTGGATGTTGGCAGCTTCATTAGTTTATTGATTTAGGGATCAAAGTAGGAGCGCAGCAAGTTTTCACTTACATTCATCTTCCAATTGTGCTCTTGCTCTGTCACACAGGAATGGTCCACTGTTTAATCTAGTCAGGAGCAAAAGATGTGCAGCTGACGCTACAGTATATACATGAAGACAAAGTGGTTGAAAAAGGCTGCATGAGATCAGCAGCACTGTGGTGTAAGAGGATGGAGGGGGGCGGGGGGGGGGATGTATGATATACAGTGCAACTACTCTAACCAGTGCATCTCAACATAAACATGGCTATGGGTGATTGTCACCATTTAGCTCGCAGAGCAAAATGGGGGAAGACACATCAGGCCCCCAAATGTTTTGGGAAGATAGCATGGATCAGGCAGTGTTTTCTTACCTATGTGATTTTTTTTTTCCCCCAAGCTGCCAGTGGATGAAAGTACCCCATAGACAGACAGTCTAGACAAATCAGGAATGTCATTTCTTTTCTACAGGCCAATGCCAATTTAGGCAGAAACAATGAAGGGAGGGGCTCACTGGAGGAATTTTACAATGTACTTACACAGCAGGGAAAGTATAATATTTGTATGCCAATTAATCCCATCAGCAGTATTGGACCCAAGCATTGCTGATTGCGGTGTTGGACCACTAGCTCTTCAGAGGACGAGTGCTCTTATTTTATCAGGATAGGATACCAAAAAAACACAATGCGCCTGAAGTGAATGGGGAGGAACTCCTCTGTGCGTCATTCTGTCCTCACTGTATAGTGTCAGATCAGCCGTGTAATGCTTGAGGTTGGTTGGAGTACCACTCCATCCTCTCTCCTGTTAGCAGTCCATCTATACATCAAGAAATGGCAGGATATTGAAGAGTTAAGTATTTCCCTGGAATACTGAACAATATTGATCCCAGCCTCGCCTCCAACAGAGCTCATGCTATGAAGAGTTAGTTGGATTTTCTCTGTAAGAAGCCAGGACTGTTCAGCTGGCAGGTGGTTAAACTAGTAAAGCCCACTCAACATTTAATATTCAGTTCTAAATATTGAAATAAGACAAATAAAACCTTAACATAACAGAATATGTGACTGATACAAGTCCACTTATAATATGAGTTATATAGTCCACCATAAAATATCAATCACTGTGAGTATGATCCAATCTTCTGTTGTAGAGGTATGAATAGATTGCCTACTCACCAGAAGCACAATATTATTGCGCATATCTAGAACACATGCATCCTGGGGTCCCGGATGCAAACAGCCTGGTGCTAGGATCCTCTGGTGGTCCCTCAGTGGTATATGAGGATACAGGTCTGGTCACAAGGTGCTTAATCCTCAGGTCCGCAGCAGTGCCTGAAATACTGGTGCTGAGGTATGAGGCTCAGTGCCAGGTATGGGGAATAAAGGTGCTTATAGTGTAGTATTATGAATAAATGTATTGTATCAAATAAGAACAATGACGTACATAAGCAACTAAAAAGGTTACAAGGACTGCTGTGAGCAATCATAAGAAGCACCCAAACAAGCACTGACCAGTACAAATCAAGTGTGGGCCACCGGACCTCCTGACCCGGCGGCGTGACGTCAAGGCGTGCGAGGGCTCCTGAGGATTAAGCACTTTGTGACCAGAACTGTATCCTCATACCACTGGGGGACCACCAGAGGATCCTAGCACCAGGCTGTTTCCATCTGGGACCCCAGGATGCATGTGATCTAGATATGCGCAATAATATTGTGCTTCTGGTGAGTAGGCAATCTATTCATACCTCTACAACAGAAGATTGGATCATACTCACAGTGATTGATATTTTATGGTGGACTATATAACTCATATTATGATATTATAAATGGACATATCAGTCACATATTCTGTTATGTTAAGGTTTTATTTGTCTTATTTTGATTTAGCGCTGCACTCCCTGTTTTATGATTTTAGTAGGAAGGTTTTGTGGTTCCTTTTAGTGCATTGGTCGCTTTTTAGAGTGCGCTCACTTACTTACATATACGGAGTTCTAAATATTGGTTCTCTTTAAGATCTGTACAATTCATTGGTGCTATAGAGTTCCTAGACCTGCCAGACATCACTACAGAAAGGAGTCTGTTTTGACAAATGCCATTTATTTCTGTAAAAAATACTGCAGTCGCACATTTTGCAAACTTAAGCACGCTTTTTTTTTATACAATGAGGTTTACAAAGTCTGTATCCTTATCACATGTACAGAATTGCCAAAAAATACAAGAGAAATTACAGCCAGTATGTATAGCCACCGTTTTTAGTTATTTGGCTAGAGCAGGGAGTAGGTTAAAACTCTTACCAGTTAATTTTTTGTGGTCTGTGCACCATTTGGGAAATTTCCCTTTGCTTCCTTTCACAGCGGAGCAAGAGGAAATCTTAAGATATTCCTGGAACAGGAAGATTTCTCCTTACCCCCTGTTCGGAGAACAACTCTAAAATTTAGAATTGCAGGTGCAGGGATGGGGATACAGAAAACAATAAACACAGAGGTCTAATATGTCTCTATTCTACCAAAATGTAAAAAAAAAACAATGTTTTGTTTTAAGATATACTTTAATATAAACCTGAGATGACTATTTAAGGGCACCATTGCTAACCAGCTTCACAAATCTTTTTTCCATGGGCTTGCTATACTTATTCGTTGTCTTTTATTGGATGACACATGCTAGCTCCATATCAGTGTCTTAAAAGTATAGCCAAAACAATCCAGACACCTTGCATTTTTTTTTTTAAAGGAGTCAATAATGGCAGCCCCATATTTCAGTACAGGTTATGTTAAAGAAACACTCAGTGGCTCATTCAGAGCAAAGTGACATTGACTTTTAATAGCTCAACCCCCCCCCCCCCCCCCCCCCCCCCCAGCAATGTATACTCATATATCTGTGTTCCCTTGTTCTAATATGGGTATGGAAAAGCATATAACTTCCCCCAAGGGACAGTGTGTGGGCCTGAACACAAAATGTGGAGGGGCAGTGACATCATTCCTCTGGGAAAGCTCTAATACTGGAGCTTACACAGGGTGCATTCTTGCAGTAGACAGTGTTATATACAGTACATGGTGATGTGCATTTTTTTTTTTTACCTATTTGCGACTAGACTGCTTTAACTCAACCCATGAAGTAACTCATGTTAACATACAACAGGTCACTAAAGTGTAAATGGGCCTCGTAGTAATCGGCTGTCAATCCTATTTTATTACAGCAGACTCAATATCTGGGCACAGTGGGAAGTCTAAATGCTCCTTTTTTTGTAGTAACTTACACATTGCACTTAAAGAGCTACTAAACCCAGGACCCCGCATTCATTATATCTGGTCTCCCACAGTGCACAAAACATGGAAGTGCAATTATTTTTGTAAATATAAACTGCTAAATACCTTTTCTCATCAGTATATAGCAATCTTGTGACTTCTATCAGTGTCCAGCAGAGCACATGTTAAAGCTTGTACAAAGAATTTTCATTCTACTGTAGGAGGATGCAGAACCCCTGAACTCTGTCTGGACAGTGCTGATCACATGCACTTTAACAAGGGGGAAAAAAAAAACCCCTCTCTAGCAATACACACCAAACTAAGCATGTGCAGAGTGACTCCACACAATATATTTTATGAGGAGATAAGAGGGAGACAATGGAAGAAGGAGAGGATCAGAGAAGTCAGAATCAAACAGCCTTTTTACACAATGCAAGGGATTAACCCCTTAGGTTCCACAGTGAGTATAACAAGCATGCTTTACTGCATATACAGACTGATTTTACTGTTGTGGTTTTAGCAACAATTTAATATCTCTCTGCCCTGTACCACTTATGACAATTTCTGAGGGTGCAGATAGGTAAAGTATAATTTCAAGTATGTTGCTCACAATCTTCCATAAAACAGTGTTCACTAATAAATTTCTCACAAAGCAAGTCACAGACTCAACGCTAGTGACGGAAACTTTTAAAAAGTATGCAAGTACTGCAGCTGATGAGAAACCATGTTATTTACAGCAGAACAATGCAGATGGCGAGTACACCCAAATAAGCCACCAATGGTACACAATATATGCAATATCAGGGCAGGTATTTGGCACTTACAAAAGCCACACACATTATTACATAACAATGTTACATGAGAGTAATTTAACCACTTCACAGAGTTCTAAAGCCTTTGGTCGTTCTGTTTAATCTCCTTCCATGGTTGTGTCAAGCTGATCTAGTTTACAGGCAGAGGGCCCCATATCTCATTAGCTCTCAGAATCCATATTTTCCAAGCATATGACAGATTTTCTGTGACCTATGTGTGCTATTCCCTAACTCATCCAGAAGGCCAACATTCAGGCATGGTCCCTAGATATACCCAGTCTCTAAACTTTCCAGACTTCAGTACATGACTGAACAAGAATTGTTCCTTTTAAGTAAAGTTATAGTACAGAAATAATAATACTAATTTATAATTGTAAACTTGAAAAGGGCATAAAATTAGGCAAGTAAACTACCTGGCCATTTTACAGATGGTGCAGGAGGGTAGAGGCACAACCTACACAACATAAAATATACTGATACCAAGAGTTTTAGACTAGCAGTGGAGTAAACAAGGCACCAGATATGGGGCTTCAGGTAAGTAGGTAGGGGCTTGTCCCAGCCCTTTCCTAGGAATACAGCACAGGAGAAAAACTGGAGAAATCGAGGCACCGAAACTGGGACTAGAGGTAAATATGGGCCCTCATGGCCCTTCCCTACTGATACAGCAAGGATGACACTACCAGTGGAGCAACTGTGACACCAGAACTGGGGCTTCAGGTAAGTAGGTAGGGGCCTGTCCCAACACTTTCCTAGGAAATATAGCACAGGTGAAACAAACTGGGACTAGAAGTAAGTATGGGACCTCATGGCCCTTTCCTACTGATACAGCAAGGATGACACTTACCAGTGGAGGAACTGAGACACCAGAACTGGGGCTTCAGGTAAATAGGTAGGGGTCTGTCCCAGCGCTTTCCTAGGTATATAGCACAGGTGAAACAAACGTGGACTCGAAGTAATGGGACCTCATGGCTCTTCCCTACTGATATGGCAAAGGTAAAGCGGCCAGTGGAGCAATTGAGGCAGCAGAATTGGAGCTTCAGAAAAGTAGGTAGGGGCCTGTCCCAGCCATTTCCTGTCTTTATCACTGTAAATAGCACAATTATCCTATTACAGAGCAGGCAGAACTACTGCAACTGTTCCTCTTAGCTGTATAGCTACATAAATACCATACAAAGAAACAGCAAACGCAGCATATAAAGGGACCCTTGTACATCAAAGTAAATGGGTGGTGTAGGTGCTCCATGTTACAACAGTACAGACCTGGGTAAAGGAAGGGGGCATTCATATACTTTGAACCATAACTCACACACCAGTGCAACTTGGCATTAGTTTTGGATAGGGCTCTGTAACTGCCCTATTGTGCTGCAGCAATATGATAGGCTGCAGAATGTAGGACTTTTATCCATGTTCAGCTGTGGTGTATGTCTTTTGTCTGCAACTATTTAAGCCCATCTCTGCAATTTGTGACTTCATAGCACTTATTCCACAAATCCATTACAAATACATTTTTGTCAATAAAATATTCTTAGGGTAATGCAGGAAGCCGGACAAAACCCCAAAAATGAACAGGTGGCAAAGTTGCAGTCCACTACTACGCCAAAATAAGGTGTGGGTCACAGTACCAAAGATATAACTAAAACAGAATAAAGGGAAAGAAGCCCTGAAAAAAGAAGGTAACTGTAGTGATCCAAATAGTTTGACTTGTAACAAAGATTATTTGCAGAACCATAAAAAGATTAAACAATATATCAACTTGAAGAGAGGTTGATAATAGGACCTAATATCGAAGATCACAGCTCCATTGCAACACTGTATAAACCTATCTCACATAAATGCAAAACACCTGATATAATGCAGCCAAACAGTGATTGCGATGCAAAGGAAAAACTTTTTGTATGCTCAGTTTTTGGGTAGAGGTTTATGATAATAGGACCTGATACAACTGAGGGTCAGACATCGCTCACTTTCAGTCCGAACTCTAGTTTTAATTGACAACGTTGTCAAACTTTTAATGGTGATGGGTGAAGGTATATATTTTTGTACTGAAAAACCTTTTTCATTTTGTTGATTTTTTTTTTTTTCATGGTTCTGCAATAAAATGTTACCAAATCAAACTATTTGGATCACTACAGTTACCTTCTTTTTAGGGCTTCTTTCCCTTTATTCTGTTTTACAAATACATTGTTGTCATTTCCAGCTTCAAAGAAAACAAATATTTTACTACCTGTTTTCTAGGCTATGGACAGGGGCCTGCAGGAGGGTCTGTGCGGCAGTGACACGTCATTTCCTCCTGTTGTTGGGCTACTTTCCCAGGATTCCTGGGTGCTGTTTCCTGTCCTTGGTTGAGAACAATACAGAGGTGGCAAGGGGATCAGTCCCCTAGCAGCCAACACTCTGAAAAACCCTAAAAAAGGTCCTTGGGACAGGAAAGGACATTGCAAGTACAAGGAAAATTTGACTTTGAAAGAGGACAATGCTGTCTGGATCAGGAATATGCTTTGGTGGAAGGCACAAAGGAAAAAAGGTGCAACATTGGCAATACACGGTTACATTTAGATTTTTGCCTGGAGTTGGGCTTTATCATTTAGGGGGGTTAAAGAGAGCTTAAACAGTGCATGATAGCCATATAGTGCAAGGGTAACTAAAAATATGTTTTGTTTATTACAATCATAAAGTGAAGTACTCTGTTATTATGTCACAAAATTAGACGTGGTTGGTCCAAATCTTTTTTTTTATACTAACGGAAAGCTATTCTTATGCCTGATCAATATCTGACCAATGCCAATCAGATACCAGCAGTGGATGTCAACAATCCAATTCCAGAAGCCTGTATAGCCAAATCCAACAGTAATTCAGTCTCAAAAAGGTCAGAACATCTGATTCGCCTTACAAATGCCCAAGTTTAGTTTTAAAAACAGCTATATACACAGAAATATGTGCCTCCTGTGACGCCAGAGAGGGCTGGTTAACTAGAACATGGAGGTCTTTTTTCCAAGAATAAAACCTTATAAATATAGACCTTTATATAATTGCCAACGATCCGAACATAAAATCTCCTACTCTTGGCTGTTTAAACATAAATAGAACTATATAAACATCTTATGTCAGCTTCCCTTTAAGTTAATAGTTAAAGCATACAAAACACTCAGTTTTCAAAACATTAAATATATACAATATCAGGAATCAGTGCAGTTTTATGGACTAGATTGTCATAAGTTGTGGCTCCTGGTAATACAGATTGTCTACAATTAGTTGTGAAATGATTGTCAATGTTTCAGGGTGTTCTGCCATATCAGCACGCTGTCTCCTTGCTGTCCACACGTCCCTGTCGCTGCAGTTTAAAAGATGAAGCCTTTTCACTCCTGGTGACCGGATGGTCAGTGAGGTCTTCAAAGGACTTTGCAGGAGAGCCGCTGGTCGGAAAGGGATCATCATCAAACTGGTCATCAAGATGAGAGTCTGTGCTGGGGTCCTCCTGGATAGTATCCATTCTTTGATGGTCACCTTTGGCAGAGGTTGGCACAGCCGGTGTTTGCTGTAGGGACTGGAATCGGCCAGTGGCCTGGGCAGAAGGGAAAGGCTTAACAATACGTACAGGAGCAGAATCCAGACTGCTGAGCATTTCCACATTCTGTTAGGAAAAAACAAACAATGTGTCAGCAACCATGGCGGAGATTCATATTGAAAAACTGTATGAGGTGTGCTGCTTGAGGATTTGTGGTTTCATGTATTATACAGGTTCTCCATATAGAACCCCCACAGTATTGTCTCCAGTGTCTCTTACCTCCTATCTGGGAAGGGAATTCAGTTGTTTCCCTGCAGCTCTTTTAAGCATTGCCAGCAGTGAAATGGCTTCCCTACTGACTGACAACAGCAGGCCAAGGCTGTGCTACTTGACCAAAAAGCACTAACACACACACTGAGTGCTGCTAGAATAATACAGATCAGCTGGCCAGCACTGCATGGACCTGCAAAGGACATTTTCCTGCATTTTCTGATATCAATCAGAAGGCAGGCCATATCACTAGGCCATTGTCCTGCCCAGAGACTCAATGGGCGAGATTTACTAATACAGGAGCACTGAGAATCTGGTGTAACTGTGCATGGTAGCCAATCGGCTTCTAACTTCAGCTTGTTCAATTAAGCTTTAGCAAATAAAACCTGGAAGCTGATTGGTTTCTATGCAGTTTCACCAGATTGCAGATGCATTCTCCAGTTTTATAAATAAGTGACTCAACAGAAAGTGAATGGAAAACCACAACAAAGTGAGAGGAATTTCCCTCTAAAGCAGTTGTCACTGGAACAGGCATCAAAGATTTTCCCTTATATTTTATTTAAAAAAGCAACAGTTTGTATTTCCCATCAATTTCTGTTCCAATGACAAAAGAAATATGTGCATAATTCTATCTAGTAGAGACAGCAATAAAAATCTGACACGAGTTTGAGTACTTCCATACTTAATCCAAAGCTAAGAACCTTTGACTATACTACACTTTAACTGAGTAGAAGTCTTAAAAAGTACATATCGCTAGCACTGTAGAGGATTTTAGTGTATAACATGATTTACTAGCTGCATAGAGTCTATCAGCCCAAAGTACTACATTTCAGATTTTGGCAAGTGCTGGACACATAGTACTAGTGGCTTTTTCCATTCCTCCAGAACAGGGGTCCTCAAACTACGGCCCGCCAAAGACATTTATCCAGCCAGCCGGAAAAAAAAAAATGATATATAAAATCAACGCTGGCTGGTAAATAGCTAGGCTGCTCAAAAGCGGCAGCCTGGAAGCCCCAGATTTTAACCTGCTGCAGCCAAAGGAGCAACAGGAGAGGAGAGCACACTAGGTACAGAGCATTGTGGCAGTGCGTTGCGGTGTACGTGTGTCCAGTGCGTTACGGTGTACAGTGTATCGGTTTCCAGTGCGTTGCGGTGCCCAGTGTATCGGTGTCCAGTGCGTTGCGGTGCCCAGTGTATCGGTGTCCAGTGCGTTGCGGTGCCCAGTGTATCGGTGCCCAGTGCGTTGCGGTGCCCAGTGCGTTGCGGTGCCCAGTGCGTTGCGGTGCCCAGTGCGTTGCGGTGCCCAGTGCGTTGCGGTGCCCAGTGCGTTGCGGTGCCCAGTGCGTTGCGGTGTCCAGTGTATCGTGTACAGTGCGTGCGGTGTCCAGTGTATCGGTGTACAGTGCGTTGCGGTGCCCAGTGTATCGTGTACAGTCCAGTGTATCGTGTACAGTGCGTTGCGGTGCCCAGTGTATCGGTGTACAGTGCGTTGCGGTGCCCAGTGTATCGGTGTACAGTGCGTTGCGGTGCCCAGGGTATCGGTGTACAGTGCGTTGCGGTGTCCAGTGTATCGGTGTACAGTGCGTTGCGGTGTCCAGTGTATCGGTGTACAGTGCGTTGCGGTGTCCAGTGTATCGGTGTACAGTGCATTGCGGTGTCCAGTGCGTTGCGGTGTCCAGTGTATCGTGTACAGTGCAGTGCGGTGTCCAGTGTATGGTGTACAGTGCGTTGCGGTGCCCAGTGTATCGTGTACAGTGCGTTGCGGTGCCCAGTGTATCGTGTACAGTGCGTTGCGGTGCCCAGTGTATAGTGTACAGTGCGTTGCGGTGCCCAGTGTATCGTGTACAGTGCGTTGCGGTGCCCAGTGTATCGGTGTACAGTGCGTTGTGGTGTCCAGTGTATCGGTGTACAGTGCGTTGCGGTGCCCAGGGTAGTGTACAGTGCGTTGCGGTGTCCAGTGTATCGGTGTACAGTGCGTTGCGGTGTCCAGTGTATCGGTGTACAGTGTTGCGGTGTCCAGTGCGTTCGGTGTACAGTGCATTGCGGTGTCCAGTGCGTTGCGGTGTCCAGTGTATCGTGTACAGTGCATTGCAGTGTCCAGTGTATCGGTGTACAGTGCGTTGCGGTGCCCAGTGTATCGTGTACAGTGCGTTGCGGTGCCCAGTGTATCGTGTACAGTGCGTTGCGGTGCCCAGTGTATCGTGTACAGTGCGTTGCGGTGCCCAGTGTATCGTGTACAGTGCGTTGCGGTGCCCAGTGTATCGGTGTACAGTGCGTTGCGGTGTCCAGTGTATCGGTGTACAGTGCGTTGCGGTGTCCAGAGCATCGGTGTACAGTGCGTTGCGGTGTCCAGAGTATCAGTGTACTGTGCATTGCGGTGTCCAGTGCGTTACAGAGTACAGCGCATTTGTGGTGCGTTACAGAGTACAGTGCATTTTGTTGTCCAGTGCGGTACAGTGTACAGTACATTGCAGTGTTCAGTGCGTTAGAGTACAGTGCATGCAGTGTCCAGTACAATGCAATGTCCAGTGCATTGTGGTGTCCAGTGTGTTACAGAATACAGTGCATGGTGGTGCAGTGCGTTAGTGTACAGTGCATTGTGGTGTCCAGTGCGTTAGTGTACAGTGCATTGTGGTGTCCAGTGTGTTACAGAGTACAGTGCATTGCAGTGTCCAGTGCATGCAGTGTCCAGTGCCATGCAGTGTCCAGTGCCATGCAGTGTCCAGTGCCATGCAGTGTCCAGTGTGTTACAGAGTACAGTGCATTACAGTGTCCAGTGCAATGTCCAGTGTGGTGTCCAGTGTGTTACAGTACAGTGCATTGCAGTGTCACAGTACAATGCAATGCCCAGTGCCATGCAGTGTCCAGTGCATTGTGGTGGTGTCCAGTGTGTTACTGTACAGTGCATTGTGGTGTCCAGTGTGTTACAGAGTACAGTGCATTGCAGTGTCCAGTGCATTTTGGTGTCCAGTGTGTTACAAAATACAGTGCATTGTGGTGTCCAGTGCGTTAGTGTCCAGTGCATTGTGGTGTCCACAGTGTGTACACTGTACACTAACACACTGGACACCACAATGCACTGTACACCAACACACTGGACACCACAATGCACTGTACTCTGTAGTGCAAAAAAACAATACAATATTTAAAATACAAACAAGATATGTGCTGTGTGCATAGGAATTTGTTCATATTTTTTTCAAACTATAGTCCAGACCCCCAATAGTATGAAGGTCCGTGAACTGGCCCCCTGTTTAAATAGTTTGAGGACCCCTGCTCCAGAAGCTTCATGGGTGAGATCTCGGTTCTACAGACGGTCTGGTTTTTTTAAAGGGACCCAAGTCTGCCTCTGTTAGATTTATTATTTATTCCACATTATTCAATAATGCAACAAGAAAAAGTGGAAACACATTTAGGACTCCAGAGATGGGAAAACAGATTAAAAAATCAAATGGGTGACTCAGCACACAAATCCACTTGCGACTGAAAGATCGTATTTGTGAAAGAATGACTATATTTAGATTACAAAATGTTAATGAACTTGTTCAATAGAGTTTAAAGCATAAAATAGAACTAAAGTCTGCAAAACGTACTTCAACGGTCCAAAGTCCCTTGCCGGCAGGGGACCAGTCGCATGGATTAAGGGACCCAGCCGGAGACCGGAGTAAGGTAAGCAATGCTCCTTGTCCTTGCTGTCCAGGACTAAATGAGCACATAACCCTTCCAGTGTGTGGGAAGAGGTGTGGGCCCATTGGAGGGGGTACAATTTGTCTTGTTTCAGGAGTTCAGCTTCAAAGTGGTATTGAATCCAAAAGAAAACATTATATTGCAGCTTACCAATTCTTAGATGTGATGGCTGCATTAGTTTTCTTGTTTAGGGTTTCTTCCCTTTATTTTCACCTGGTGATCTGGACAGTAAGTCTGTCAAAACAACAAGCTCTCTTCCAGATGTAGCAGTTAGAGGGTAGAGACAAACCATTTACCATTGATAGGGGTGCTTACAATGATCAGCTTTTATTTATGTAAAACCTTTATTCCAAAAAGGACAAGAAAAAAAATCTTTTGCTATAACTGGCTATAAAGTGTGAATTAGAGTTTGGCTTCAATTTGTTAGTGTATCTAAATCTTTTAGTTCATCTAACACTTCCTCCCCAGACTGACAATGCTGCTGTCCAAATGTGCCCCTTCATCCAGAGTGGGAGCACTCTAATACAGGAGGTGTGTTAATGGCCAGATCACCAGGGGAAAAAGACTAAAAAAATAGAAAACAAATGCACTCCACCACATCTAATGATTGGAAAGCTGCAATAGATTACAATGTTGGTTTTGTGTTTATTACCACTTTAATAGCATCAAGGATAAATATGAAGATTTAGGACATGATGTGAGGAGGGGTGATATTTTCCAACACACTTTAGCGGAAAAAAAAAAAAAATCAACAAATGTAATTAAAAAAAAAACAAACAATTTCTGTTCCAGCATGGATGCTGTACAATGTTTTTTGTTTTTTTTGTTTTTTTTTTAATGTAGCTCTGTTTGGGGAAAGTGGTTATTTGATGTATGGTATGGTATATGGGATGGTTCTTTGCCATTACAGAGAGAGCATAGGAACCCTTTGCCTAGTAAAACAAACAAAAAAAAAAAAAAATCCCATACGCATAGTCTATGCACACAGTAATTTTACTAGGATCCCGAATCTTTTACCACATTGGCAGGCATGAATACTTACACTTGGCAAGAATAAGGATTTGGCATTTTCCTCATACTGCTTGTCCAGTTTCTTATCCTGGTAAAATATGGGAAAAATAATCACTTATATTGATCATTTACTAGGTTGCAAATACACGGTTAAAATAACAAACAGAGGCGAGTCAGATTGTTTATGAAGAAACTGTGTGGAGCAGAGTCCTTTATTCAGTGTGCCTGAAAACAGGGTGAAAGAATTGTCTTTCGGAGTGGACTTCCTTGACTGTTACTATTGATTCCCTATGTCTCTGATCGGGATATCTGCACATCGGATAAACATGCTAGTTCAAGAAGATCACACATTAGGGTGGGGTCTTACATTTGTCTAAACATTTCTCTGGTGTATCTAAACCCAAAAACAAATATGTAATATACTGCAGATTGCCATTCCTTAGATGGAGTGGCTGTACTAGTTTTCTAAACAACTGGTATTTTTGTACTTGCAGAAAATTCTCTTGGTCAGAAAAAAGAAAGCTAATGCAGCCACTACATCTAAGGACTGGTGGGCTGCAATATATTACATTTTTGTCTGTTTTTTTTTTTTTTACTTTAACCTCTTCGTGTCCACCCCAGCATCTTTAAAAAGCTCTGAACACCCGTGGCACAAAGGATAGACAGTCATGTGACCACTGTGACTGGCTGTCACAGTGGTCACATGATTAAGAGCCAGTTCTACCAACCACTAATTGTTAGGCTGGCCATACATGTATAGATTTTCGGATGAGAATATTCGTTAGAAAAGTCATAGGAAAATGTTTTGACCATTCGATGAATGGACAAATGTTCGAAAATTGTCTTTTGCTTTTAGCATTCGACTTTAAAATGAATGTAATTTTTGAGCAATAACCACATACACTGGCCGAAAATTAGTTTGATTGAGACAAGTTTTCCTTCCTGCCCCTTCAATCTTTCCTGTGACTGATCGAAAACAAACATCGATTTGACCCCACTAACGATTAGAAAATCAAACGAATATTCTTGAAACAAAAATTCTCAAATTAAATGCTATACATGTATGGCCAGCTTTAGTATGGATCGAGAACTGTCCTTGACAGCTTGGTCTCCATGCTGTGAGTGTACAGTGACTGAGTGGCCAGTGTTTCTGTGCTGAGGGTTCAGTGATATATATGTGCGGTGTATGGGTGTTAAAGCCCATTTTTTTTTGCCAGCCTACATATGTGTTACACACAGACAGCAAGAGGTTAAATCTGTTAGATCTTCCAAATGCCTTTTCCGGTCAGTAGCTAGCTTTAGTGTGTTGTAAGGAAAAACATTTAGGTGTGGGGGGCCCCTCAGAATTGAGTGACCTTTATCAAAGGCTCCCAGTGCTTGGCCATTTATAGTCAATAAACACCTCAATGAATTCAATGAACCAAATCATTACCCACATATAAGCCAAATGGCACTCCTGTTCCTGCAACTATAGAAAAATAAAACTAATCAAGGAGGTATAATAGCTGCTTCTCTGTGTCTGCATTTTGTTTTTAGACAGAACATTCTACATTAGATTTCTGGCCTAGTAAAAACTGCCAAAATACAAAACCTGAAAGTCAGTACAGCTGCTAGGAACTGTCTTTTAAAGTTTAGTGTACAAAATTCTGACCTCTACATTAAAATGAAGAAATAGCAAAAGGATGTAAACTAATGGTGTGTTCAATTATTGGGGATTTTTGTTCTAACTGCTCTCCATTCATATTGCTTAGTGCCAAAATGTTCAAAATGAAACACATGTACTCACCACACAGTGGACCAGTATACTGAGAGGGATCCAGAAGAGCAAAGAGAACACGATGACAGACCCCACAATGTTATCAGCCAGGAACTTACCTAAAAACACACAAACCTCTAGCCAATCAGAAAGTAGAATAACAAATCTAGATAAAAGGATTCATTCATACAGCGCTGAGCAAACTTTTTGGCGCTATATAAATACTGTATAATAATAATTAATAATATCATAATTCAAAGCCTAATTACAAAAAAGGATACTTTACAGTTATTGGTGTATGCGGTCTTTTTCTGTTTTTTTTTTTTACTTCAAGAGATGCTGCAGCAAGACCTCCCACATGGTTATTTGTTTACTTCAAGAGATGCTGCAGCAAGTCCTCCTACAGGGTTTTCAGTGTGCTCCAGCTGCTGCATCCTCCATAATGTAAAATAATCCAGCAGCAGTCACACTTACTGCTACAGATAGGTAAACTAGAAAATCAGGTTCACCCAACACAGAAATCATGGAGGGACCAACTCATATTTTAAAGTTGTACTTCAAGCAGATGTTACCAAAAATAGGTATTTTGTACTGACTGTAAAATCTATTTCTTGGAGTTCATTGACTTGCACAGAAGTCTTTAACCTTTAGGGTTATACTGCAACCTACATGAAGACTGGACACTGGAGAAAAAAAAAAAAAAAAAAACAAAAAACAAAACTGTAGGCCTCCTACTACCAGCATGCCTCAGTTTTGTAGCAAAAGCAGTGCTAAGAGCATGATCATTCACATGGGACTGGTGTCCTTGATGGACTCCAAGTAAAGGATATTATGGTAAGTACTTTAATTCTCACCCATCAAAGGACACAAGGTCTTAATCCTTTAGGATATCCAAAAGCAATCCAACTGAGAGATTGCACAGCAAACAAGCTAACAGTGCAATCAGGAACTATGGCCTGCAGCTCAAATAGCTGTCAGAACAACCATGTGCACGAATATAGCATCAGTGTGGCCAAAACATCCATCTGTTAAAACTCCAAGAACATGAGAAAAGGCCTTGCAAATCTGGAAAACAACTACTTGATACCAAAAAGGCCAAGAAGTACTTACAGATCTAGTAGAGTGTGCCTTGACAGGAAAGGGTGGAGCCTGATCCTGGAGACAAAATGCAGGGTCTGTCTGAGCCACCCAGAGATGATGGAATGGGAGCACCCATACAGGGGACCTTCCAGAATGACAAAGGGAATCAGTGTTTCTTAAATCAGTGGCTGAGAGACTCTCACAGGCCAAACCATATCCTCACAATGAAGATAAATTTCTTTTTGGTGAAATCGAGCCGAACAGAGGGACTTAACAATAAGGTTTTAGTTGAGGGAATAGCAAAACATACCCAAGGCGAGAGGGGGAGTCCTGGGCCTCAACACCACCTTTGCCTTATGCAAAACCAGAATGATTTAGTCACAGGATAAAGCCACCAGTTCAGACTCTTACCTCACACTCATGAGAACTACAGGCAAGATCACCTTGTGGGCAAGACTAGAAAGTGGAAAGTCTCTGAAGTGCAGAGAGAACCACATTAAAATCCCAAGGAATTACAGAAATGAACAGGGGGAAGTTACACAGGAGCCGAACACTGGTCCAAAGAAAGCTTCAAGAAGGAGAGAGTTTATCACACAGAGAAACTCCTAGGGTGGAAGCAACGAGAGTTACACCAAGATAAGTATGCCTTCTGGACAGAAGATCCTAACTATCTGTCAGAATGCATCGAGCGTCCACCAAAAGTCTTACTCGGTCCGGTCAGCGCACCACATTCCCTGGGCCAGTCCAGGACAATAAGGTTTGTCAAAATTCCCTATATCTTGATTCTTAGAAGCAGACAACAAAGATGTTTTGGGGAAGAAATGCCATAGATCAGGCTGTACTGATCCCCCTAAGCATCTTCCACTTCCTGTTACCTGGTAACAACTTGTCTAGTTTGTTGTTGGAACCTGAAAGCCAGGAGATCAAACTCCAGCATCCCCCACCTACAACACAAGTCCTGGAACACCTTCAAGTGTAGGGACCTGGGTCCAGGTGCTTCCGGTTGTTGAAGTCTGTGATCCCTACACCTTGGATGTACACAGTGGAAAAGGACGGAACACAAAGTTCTGCCATGGCCAGGACCTGATTAAACTCTCTTGTAGCAGTGAGACTTCTGGTTCCTTAATGATGGTTTACATATGCCATTGCTGTGGCTTTGTCTGTCTGTATCTGGATCGAATGGCTTTCAGCAAGATGGCCCACCCGCCACAGAGACAGTCAAACCCTCTGCTGCTCCAGGACATTGATTGGGATACAAGATTTAGAAGACAAAAAAGTCCTTTGCACTGACCAGGTGCCTAGAACTCCTCCATTGTGAAGATTCTTCAAAAAACGGGAAAGAAGGACTTCCATTTCTGGAGCCACCAGGCTAGGGACAACCTTGTCCTCCGCACCAAATGAATGCCCCTTGATGACAGAATGTTGTGCTGTAGAGGTTTGGAGCGAAAATGGCGAATAGATCTGCCTCAAAGGAGGTTACCATCAGACCCAAGACTCATGCAGAAGTGGAGAATTGGATGACTCCTGAACTGGAGAGCTCAAAATTGAGATCAGAGATTCTGAAATTTCTCTTGTGGAAGAAAAATTCTGGCTTGAACTGTATCCAGGGCTAGATTCAGACACTCTAAACCATGAATCAATTTTAGCGTCTGATGGTTCAGGATCCACCTGGACCACTGTAACATCTGAACAGTCTGATCCACATTGTCTGACAAAGCCTTTGGTGACTGGTCCCTCAACAGGAATTCCACCAACAATGGGGATACCATGAAAGTGCAACTGGGCCAATACTGGGGCCATCACATTGTTAAACAAACTAGGTACAGATGAGAGGCCTTAGGACAGGGCCATGGCATGGAGATGTGGGGGCCCCACATCAAAATTTATAAAGATTTCATACATTGGAAAATGGTACTGTTGCATCTTTTGGTTTGGTGCTCCTGCATTTCTGTCAAATAACTGCAGCAATTATACAGGCAAAGTGGTGCATTATCTGACAGAAATAAAGAGGTGCTGATATTTTTGGCCATGACTGTATATTTTTATGCTCTGAGTATCATACCAGGCACCTTTTGGAGGAGAACCTTGCTGAACAGCCATACCAGAGTCAGTGAGCTTGCTGAATGACTTTGTTCTCCTCATTTCTCTGATCAAATAACTGTCTCAGTACCTCTTAAAAAAAAAAAAAAAAAAAAACATCTCTCAAAATGTGTTGAGATCCAAGATGGGGCCACAAGCCTCCTGGGAATGATGAGATTGGGAGTAAAATACTTGAAACCATTTTGACAAAGGAACCAGAACAATGACATCTAGGCCTAGAAGCTCTGAAAAGGCTTAATGGAGATCTGCTAATCTATGTGGTGATATAGAAATATAAGTGGTGAGAAACACAGGAGGGAGCAGAGACCAAAACTTCACCCCTGGGTACCATCTCCTAAACCCATGTGTTGGAGATGGAAGTGTGTCAAAGTGTGCACAGAGATTAAAGAGGAGTTACAGGTGTAAAGGAAATTTGTAAATTCTGTATAAAATTGTATTCTATTTTGCTTTGCCTATGTATTGCACACTGCACTCATTGAGCACTCGACACTAATAATGTTTTCATTACAGGTTTGCCTTCTTTCAAATCCTGATTAGAAATTAGCCTGCCTACGTAACACCCTTTATCACATTAATATTATAATTGTACTTTTATGGTAACACCTAAGTAATCATGTATAAAAGACTTTCAATGTTGCCAAATAAACAGAACAATTATTTGGAAAGATGCTGAGTGTATCTTTTTGTGCCTGTTCCCTACTGCAGTAGTTATTAATTTGAAACCATCAATATGAGGATAGGCATTGCTTACTGATAAAATTTCCAAAACACAGGTATGGATATTTTATACATAGTTAGATTGGTCCAGCTTGGACCAATGTAACAATGTGTAAATAAAAACCTGACCAATGCCCTTGGAAGCTGGAAGACACTGAAGTAGACACCTCTACTCCAGTGATATCCACTTGGTTCCAGGTCCTGTGCCAAGCCGCTTGCCTGCTGCATTCTGAACACAGAAATCAGCAGCTCAGCATGGGTGCTGTTCAGAGAATGTGAACAAAACAGTTCTCTGACCGGACAAGGTGGGCAGGCGAAGCAGTGATGCCACTGGTCGTAGCAGCGTGATCCTGGGCTGGCCTACTTTTTTTCCCATTTGCCACTGCTCTATCCTCCAGTAGGCAACAATATATCCCTGAAAGTTAAGACTTCCTTTCTTAATACATGAGATAGCAATACTATTTAAGTTAGTTACATGTTAAATATCTATTTTAACATAAAAATTGTTTAGTAACAAATACAGTTGGTAAAATAAGTTTTGAACATATCACCATTTTTCTCAGTAAATATATTTCTAAAGGTGCTATTGACATGAAATTTTCACAAGTCAGTAGCAACCCATGCAATCCATACATACAAAGAAACCAAACCAAATAAGTTCATAAATTAAGTTATGTGTAATAAAATGGAATGACACAAGGAAAAAGTATTGAACACATGAAGAAAGGGATGTGCAAAAAAAAGGCATGGAAAGCCAAGACACCAACTGAAATCTATCAATAAATAGAAAGCAATGCTGCCCCTTGTCAGTGCAAATATCAGCTAGTTTAATCTCAACTGATGGCCTATAAAAAGGTGTCACACAAGAAACATCTCTTAAAAGGTAAAAGCAAAGAGCTCTCTCAAGACCTTCCTAACCTTATTGTTGCAAAACATATGGATGGCATTGGTTACAGAAGGATTTCTAAACTTCTGAATGTTCCAGTGAGCACTATTGGGGCCATAATCTGGAAGTGGAAAGTACATAATTTCACAATAAACCGGCCACAACCAGGTGCTCCTCACATGATTTCTGAGAAGTGAAAAGAATTATCAAAAGAATTTTCCAAGAGCCAAGGACCACTTGTGGATAACTTCAGAAAGACCTGGAATTAGCAGGCACAATTGTTTCAAAGAAAACAATAAATAATGCACGCAACCGCCATGGGCTGTATGCTCACCACGCAAGACTCCATTGCTAAAGAAAAAGCATGTTGAAGCGTTTAAAGTTTGCTGCACAACATTTAGACACGCCTATGAAATACTGGGAGAATATAGTCTGTCAGATGATACCAAAATTGAACTCTTTGGATGCCATAATAAACACCATGTTTGGAGGTCAAATGGCACTGCACATAACCCCAAAAAAACACCATACCAACGGTGAAGTTTGGAGGTGGGAACCTCAGGGTGTGGGGCTGTTTTTCAGCATATGGTACTGGCAAACTTCATATCATTGAAGGAAGGATGAATGGAAAAATGTACCAAGACATTCTTGATACAAATCTGCTGCCATCTACCAGGCTGATGAAGATGAAACGATGGTGGACATTTCAGCAACTGGTTTCAAAGAAAGAAAATATAGCTGTTAGAATGGCCCAGCCAATCACCTGACTTGAATCCAATAGACAATATATGGAAAGGAATAAAGATTAGAGTTCATAGAAGAGGCCTATGGAACCTTCAAGATATGAAGACTGTTTGTGTGGAAGAATGGGCCAAAACAACACCTGAGCAATGCATGCAACTAGTTTCTCCATACAGGAGGCGTCTTAAAGTTGTCATCACCAACAAAGGATTTTGTACGAAGTATTACATAAAATTTCAATTAGCGTGTTCAATACTTTTTCCATGTGTCTTTCCATTTTATTACACAAAACTTAATTTCTGAACTTATTTGTTTTGGTTTCTTTGTATGTATGGATTGCATGGGTTGTTACTGACATGCGGTGAAAATTCCATGTCAATAGCACATTAAGAAAAATATTTACTGAGAAAAATGGTGATATGTTCAATACTTATTTTACCCGTTGTATATGACCTCTGATGTTCAGAAGGTCTCTCCTATGGCAAAGCTATGTAACGCATACTGCTGTTTGATCAATATAAGACAAGTGTACATACATGTTCTGATATTTCCCAGGTTTGCTTTTTCATAAAAAGTATAAGGACTTACCCAACATGTTGATACTAAGCTTGTCAATAAAATCCCAGATCCTCTCTATCACATCTTGGACCTGTTTCTCACACTTTCCCTGTATGAAAGAAGCACAGAAAAGAGATATTAGTACAGGACTGGTTGCTTATAGTTATGGATGAAGGGTGTACAGGCTGCCTACACAGAATACAAGCAGCCACACTGCATGCTACTGCATTACTAGAAGTATAGTACTTAACACATCTAATAATCACATGCCATCTCATGACTCAGAGGTCTTTAGGTAGTAAGAGCAGGCCTTAAAATGAGCAGGCTCAAACAACAGTCAGATATAGTTTGGGATAGAAATGACTACAAGTAATAAAGTTAAGCAGCCCATGGGCCACGAGTGGCCTACGGGCTGTTGGGTTTAAATTCCACAGCCTGTGACGACCAATGCAGGAGGGGATGGAGGGTTAACTCTCATTGCAGCTGATTATCAATGTAAGCGGGGGTTAAATTTACCTGCCCTAACCTTCAATGCAGAAGGGGATGGGACCACCAAAGTTAATAAAGATTGTATCCACTGACACCAATGCTGGGGCTATTTCTGAATTCACGGTCATCAATGCTGGGGGTTATTACATCTACTGAAAGCAATGCTAGGGTTTATTATTGCGTTTACTGACACCAACGTTGGGTCTATTACTGCATCCACTGACACCAGTGTAGGGGGCTATTATTACCTTCACTGATATCAATGCTGGGGACGATTATCGCATTCACTGACACCAGTGCTGGGGGTTATTACTGTGTACACTGATACCAATACTTTATTTCATCTGTTGCAGTTGATTATTAATAATAATTAAGCATCCACTGGCACCAATGCTGGGAGTTATTATTGCTTCCACTGGCACCAATGCTGGGAGTTATTATTGCATCCACTGACACCAATACTGGGGGGTTAATATTACATTCACTGACACCAATGCAGGGGGGTTATTTTTGCATCCACTGACACCAATGCTGAAGGATATTATTGCATCCACTGATACCAATGCTGAAGGATATTATTGCATCCACTGATACCAATGCTGAAGGATATTATTGCATCCACTGATACCAATGTTATGGATTATTGTACTACAACTTCTTCTGTGTGCATTTTGATATGGTGCAAAAAAAAAAAATGCAGCAGGACCAAAACTTTTGGGCATTGAGGTGCGAAAAGGCTTTGCTATTGTGCAGCCCTATGGAAGTGTCGAGAGCTACTTGATACCCTCTATGACTTTCCAGATGGCCACCTTGCTTTAGAGTTTCTTGATCGGTTGATTAGAAATTGTATGGTGTCCTCATATGAGCTTCTAGTTTGCATTCACAGTTATACTGCTCTACTTAAATAAGAAAAGATATGAGCATATAAATGTTTGAAAAATACTTATGTAGGGGGTCTCTAGGTGTCTAAGTAAAACGGTCATTAAATTGTATGTATGTTTTTGTTATTTTTTTTTTTTTCGGTCTGTGTAACACTGGCAAGCTTTCTACTTCATTCAAGAAGAGAAAGGAAGTTAGAGGTAATCTCCAAAAGTGAGGGGAATTTCCATCTTTTACAGTTGTACCTGGAACAGGTCTTCCCATTGGAAGGTTTCCCCTAACTTCTTGTTCTGATTAATACTGGGATGCAGGAGGCTATAGCCCAAGCTTGGAATAGGAGTGTTCCCAGGGCACGGCATGTAAGAAAACATGATTATTATTTTTATACAGGATTTATATAGCGCCAACAGTTTGCTCAGAACTTTACAGTATAAAGGGAGACAAAACAGCAATGATACAGTGCAATACAAGAAGGTTAGGAGAACCCTGCTCATGATGTCAAACATATACCTGCTTTTTATTATTACTAGCACTTTAACTTGTTGCCGACCGCAGATAGCCGAATGACGGCTTCACTGCGACCGGCCAGTTCTGAGTGGACGTCATATGACGTCCCCCCAGAACGCGCTCTCCTGCGCGCCCCAGGGGGCGCGGCACCCGGCGATCTCCGTGATCGCGGTGTCCTACGGACACAGCTGATCACGTGATGTGGTAAAAGGCCAATCACAGCGGCTTTTTACCACCTGATCAGCGGTGTCCAATGACACGCTGATCAGAGGGAAATGCAAGTGCCGGTTCTCGGCTGCACTTTCCTCACGCTGTCAGATCGTGAGGAAAGTACTGCCGAGAACCAGCAGTTGTCAGAGCGGGGATCGGCACCGATCATCAGGGCACTGATGATCAGTGCCCTGATGATCGGTGCCCAGCAGTGCCACCCGCAAGTTCTGCCCACCTGTGCCCAGCAGTGCGCCCACTAGCTCCGCCCACCTGTGCCCAGCAGATCACCCACCTGTGCCCAGCAGTGCACCCACCTGTGCCCAGCAGTGCACCCACCTGTGCCACTCTGCAATGTCACACACCTGTGCCCAGAAGTGCCACCTACCTGTGCCCAGCAGTGCCACCCACCTGTGCCCGCCCACCCACCTGTGCCCACCAGTGCCCCACCTGTGCCCACCCACCAGTGCTGCCCACCAGTGCCACCCACCAGTGCTGCCCAGCAGTGCTGCCAGTCAGTGCCACCAGTCAGTGCCCAGCGGTTGTGCCAGTCAGTGCTGCGAGTCAGTGCCCAGCAGTGATGCCAGTCAGTGCCGTCTATCAGTACCCATCATCAGTGTCACCTATCAGTGCCGCCTATCAGTGCTGCATATTAGGGCCTGCCTATCCGTGACACCTCATTAGTGCTGTCTATCAGTGCCGCCTATCCGTGCCACCTCATTAGTACTGCCTATCAGTGCCCATCAGTGCTGCCTATCAGTGCCCATCAGTGCTGCCTCATCAACGCACATCAGTGAAGGAGAAAAATTACCTGTTTGAAAAATTTTATAATAGAAACAAAGAAACTTTTTTTTTTTTTTTCAAATTTTTGGCAATTTTTTATTTATAGCGCAAAAAGTAAAGCGCCCAGTGGCGATTAAATACCACCAAAAGAAAGCTCTATTTGTGAGAAAAAAATGATCAAAATTTCATATGGGTACAATGTTGCATGACCGCGCAATTGTCAATCAAATTGCGGCAGCGCTGAAAGCTGAAAATTGGCCTGGTAAATAAGGGGGTATAAGTGCCTGGTAGGCAAGTGGTTAAAAAACAGTAATGTAAATAAAAGTTGTGAGCCTGCTTCCAGGTCCAGGGCATGCATGAGCGCGCCCGCTGTTGACCCATGCTGCGGCTGGACACCGGCCAATAATACATGGCTGAGACCTGCTGATCGGGTGTGTTTGTTTTTTGGGTTTTTTTTTTTTACAAACACAGGGCTCTATGCACAGAGCAATGATCTGGCTGTTTCTTCTCCCTGCTAAGCAGCAAGAAAAATAACAAAATCAGTGTCATTAGTACAGTAACAATGTATTAGCATCACTATTGAGGTCAATGTCAGTGTACCTCCCAGCCAGCGTCAGCTAGTGTCAGACTGCCCACCACACTATCACAGTCCCACTATAAGTTACAGATCTTTACCAGTTCAGTATCACAGCTTCATAAATTCCAGTATATATACCATGTTTGTAGATGCTATAACTATCACACAAACCAATATACACTTATTGGGATTTTTTTTTTTTTTTTTTTAACCAAAAGACATGTAGCAGAATACATTTTGGCTTAAATGTATGCAGAAATTATATTTTATGATTTTTTTTTATTATTGAAAAAGTTTTATAGCAGAAAATCTTGTTTTTATTTTTTACATTTTCTGTCTTTTTTTATTTATTTACTAAAATATAAAAACAGTGGTGATCAAATACCACCTAAAGAAAGCTCTATTTGTTTGGAAAAAATGATAAAAAATTTCATTTGGGTACAGTGTTACATGACCAAGCGATTTCTAGTTAAAATAGCGCAGTCCTGACTAGCAAAAAATGCCCTGGCCATGAAGGGTGTAAAACTTTCTGGAGGTCAAGTGGTTAAAAATATCACCCTGTCTGGGAGGAGACAAAGGCTAACAGATTCCTAGTCAAGTATCTGTGATGCTGCCCTAGAGCACAGAACAGACCAGAAGTGATTCAAAGCAATTTTCTGCATTTTGAAATATACATAAACTGCATGGTACTTTAAGAAACTATCCATGCCAGAGAGCCCTGTTCCCATGAAAGCATCTAAGGAGCTTGCATTTGTAAAATGTGGTACATTCTGCAGTTATGGATATGTTATGTTATGGACACATGCAGTTTCTATTTTCACTGAATGGGGAAATTATAAATCACAATGCTTTGGAAAACTCATGACAACATGAACTAAAGTATATTTAAACCCCAAAACCAAAAGTTTAATATTTGGACCTTTTGGTCTGTTAAATATACCATTGAAAGTGTTCTGTTATCTCTGTGAATTTGAAAAGAATACATGTTGATCTTGCCAGTCCACATAAGCACTCTGTTTTGTAAAACAGGAGAGAACAGAGAACAAGATTCCATGGCCCGGTCTTATTTCTGCTGTGCAGTGAATCAATGTCATCTTGCTGTGTGTTACTAGCAGAATCATCAGTGAAAAAGAGCTTGGAAACAAACAAAAAACGAAAGCAGTGCCCACATCTGCGGACTAGTATGCTACTATAACTTTTTTTTTTTTTCAGGATTTAGATATGTTTTAAATTGTATACATTGTGTCTTCAATCTAGTGTGAATTAATTCTTATACAAAAGTTGGTGTCCTGAAAGGGGGTGACAACACAGGCAGTGGGTCTGAATGCATTCACTGTCACTCCCCAATCATAAGGCCTATATAGATATTACTGGAAGCCGTCTTTTTATTTGTGTAGGCAGTGGAAAAGTTGGCAGTTATAATTCTCACAAAGATGGGAATTAGAATGCAGCTTACATTGCCGTCACAGAAGCCCACAGTGCATGGCTTTCCTTTACGCAGGTAAAGGTACTGCTTCTTATCGCTCACATACGGACTGCAGATTCCATTGTGGTCCCGGCAGCACACTTTACAGGAATGTTCAGTTTCTGAAAACGTAAATCTGATTACTTACAAACAACCACAACATAAAAAAAGAAAAAAAAGCTATTCATAAATAGTAATATTCCAGGATGCCTTTCATGAAAGAACAGGAAAACCTAGCCAGGATGTAAAATGTAATTTCCTCAGCATTGCCCCATCACTTTCTTACCATTGCAGGCACATGACTTGAGGTTCTTTTCGATCTCGCAGAAAGGCCGGCACTCTCCACCAATACATTTGCCAGAATCCACGCACTCTGTGTCATCAGCTGCACTGCCAGGTGCGGGGCACTCACTGCTGTTACCTAAAAAGTAAAGAGTGGGCTGAGATGCACCATTGAAAAGAAACCTGTACAGTTTACATTTTATTATACAAACTTAAAATATTAACATATTGCCGATAATTCATTTTATCAATGGATGCCATGTGAAAATCACTGGTTCTGTTTAGGGTTTATACATGGGTAATGTGGGAGATAAATACTGAAATATATAAAGCGCTTTTTATTTTAGGTGTACAGTTTTGTACTAGGAATTCAGATATTCTGCTACTATCCTATAATCATGTATGTAAATAGCTTTGTCAAAGTTTCAGAAAACTACTTTAAAGATTAACAGTAGCTTCAATCGAGTTCTGAAAGGGACACTACTTTATATTAGAAAAAAAGTGGCAATTAGCTCTCATTGGCAACTATGCACACAAGGCTAGATTTGCCCAATTCAGAAAAAATATTAGGATTTTTGGTTTACATGTAAAATCCTTTTCTTGGAGCATATCACAGGACATTGTCATATTCAAAACTACTTGGGCGATGCCAAAATACGCCTCCCAGCTCAGCTAAGCATCAGTTTTGTAGAAAGCAATAAATGAACATTAACAAGAGGGAGGGATCCCTCAGTCCCATGATGTAGGGAAATTTACGAGTAAACCAAACATCATACTTTCTTAATTTGTACATCAAAGGATGCAGGGCGTCTTCATATTCATGACTATTTGGCATGCCCCAAAGCACTAGACAAAGTTTGGGTAACACAGCAGTAAACAAACAACCCAAGATCCCCAAACAGAACAGGTGAAAAAAACAAAACAAAACAAAAACAAAGCTGCCTGAAAGACCCTTTGCCCAAAAATTGCATCTGCAGTGGTTTGAACATTCACCTGATAAAACAGAAGATTGATGTTTAACCACCCAGGAAGCACCAAACACTCCTGGTGGAATGGGCTTTGACCATGAAAGGTGGAGCCTTACCCTGGAGACCATAGGTCTGAGAAATGAGATGATGAATCCACCAAGAAACAGTGGATCAAGAGGCAGCCTGACCCTTGCAAGAACCTTCAGGTAGAACAAACAAGGAATCAGACTGTTGAAATAAAGCTGTAGACTTCAGATAAAGAGTAAAGCATTATCTCCTCAGGATAGGACAAAGATGGTAACACATTGTCTTGATTAAGGTGAAACCACCTTAAGTCAAAAAAAAAAAAAAAAAAGAGGAGAAAAAAAGAAAGCAGGAAAGGCTCCTTGCAGGAGAGCGCAGCCAGCTCCAACAGGGATAAGGTGAGCAACTTACTCCTATTATATGAATGAGAACCTGCCAGGACAGAAGCATGGAGGCGGTTGATGCTGACATGTTTTTGATGGTGCAAGCTTCCGGGCTGTCAGCCTCATTTTTGCTCTACTATTTACTGAGGCACAAGTTCAGAGCAAGTATATAAGTTTGGCATTTCTTCTCTAAATTTAGTGAGGCAAGGATGAGAATGACACCCTTGGAGCTTGTGCCTTTAAAGCCAGCATTGGCAGCACAAAGCAAAAATGACCACATAGTGAACTGCAGTCTTTTCACATAGTTTCTATGGGATTTAGGTCTGGGCTCTGACTAGGTCATGCAAGAACATTCACCTTTTTCTCCTTCAACCACTATCGGTCAGCATAAAATTTTAATGAACTTGAGCAGTTCTGCAAAAAAGAGTGGGCAAATACTGCACAGCTAGTATAGACATATCCCAACAAACTAAAGGCTGTAAATAAAGCAAACAGTGGTTCAACAAAATACTGACACAAGGGGATGATCCCTTTTCCAACTCAGTAATTCTGTTTTTAATTTTTTTCTGACATGTTGGTGTTATATTCTGTTACTTGGATGTTATAAGCTGCACTGAGTAAATACAGCTGGATAAAACAACTGTGTGTGTGTCTTCATTTCAGGCTGCAAAGCAACAAAATGTGATTATTTTAAAGGGGGGGGTTAATTTTTTTCTACACCCAATGTATATGGTACTCATGGTCATGATGAGAGGACAGTCATTTCCAGCTGGATCACCTGAGGATATATCTCATGTCTATGGAGACCTGCAGACACCCACCAGCTGACTGTCTTCTATACAAACAATCAATCATGTTAGAAGTTTGGGTTGATGGATATTTTCTTCTCTGAAAGAATCATGCAAAAGCATTAATACATAACTATTTGGAGGGGCGAGAGACTATTCAAAAGTTGGATTGTGCCCACAGCTCTAATTTCTATAGCCAGCTTATAAAAAAAAAAAAACACAGCATCATATGTCCTCTATAGGCAGGAAACCAGGTATGTAATCATATAGGGCAGGGATCCTTTGTAAAATCATCACTCAGATCTCTCTGGTTTGCAGAGAGCAGTAACTGTTGCATTATACCAATTGTTCTCACAGGAATAAAATAGAGATCACTGAGCAGTATGTACATTATATAATAAAAAAATGATATTGCTGTGTGCGTGAAACATTTTGCCATCTGGCAGTACAATGCCCCTAATGCTACTGGACCCCATGGCTGTGACCTTCTCCACTGTAGCTACATTATGTTGCCATTTACCTGTGCAGTAGGACTCTCCTTTACAAGTGGCATTAATGGCTTCCTGGCATTTCTTCTGAGCAGTTTCAAACTGGCAATTTTTACAGCATGGACTGTTGCGATCACTGAAATATGTAAAATTTATATTTATTCAAAAACAAATAAAAAGACACAGGAGTTCAGTTTCACTGCTAGATAAAAATTGGTGTTCAGTATGATGTAAAACACCATGACAGCAAATCTGATCTCACCTTTTGACAGTTACAACTGTATTAAAGAATTCTAAAAAAAAAAAAAAAAAAAAGAAAAAAAAAGAAGGTGCACTGCTGCCATTGTTACTATTTTAAAAGAAACCTATGCTAGAAGAAATTTGCTAGAAGAAATAGGCTCTCAGTGCTTACCTGTTTTTGAAAATGCTATCTGTCTGTCTCTGGTTTCAGTACTTTGAGTCACTGACTTGGAGGAGATGTGAAGCCAGGAGTTCAGAATCCGCTCTGGAGCGGTGACTGAAAGTATCGAAGCCACTGGGTCAGCATGACAGTGGGGCAATTAGCATTTCTAGGAAATAAGGTCAGCAACGCAGTCTTAATACTGCTCCCAGCACAGGTTTCCTTTAAGGCAGAACTCCAGACATATATGCTCCACCCAGTGTTAAAATGTACACTGTCATTCTAGAAAACAATTACATAATTTTAACAAGCTAAAATACAGAGCAATCTCAAATCTCAGATATTGTCCTATAATTCTGCAATAATGCTGATACCAAAGTGACACAATCATTGATTTTTGTGGGCTCTTATTTAATATTCAATATACTTAACAGGCAAAAATGGGAAAAAAAAACATTTATCCAGTTTCAAAACAACTAGTAGTACTATATATGCAAAGTCCTAACTTTATTTTGTCCAATTTATCATGAAATTAAAATTACATTAACAAAATATTTCTGTGTAAATGAAATTAGAAACCTAGCCAATTGGAAAAAATGCTAAGGGGAGAAGGGAGAGGATGGAATTCATTAGTTAAAGGACAACAAGGGGATAATTAAGTGTAGAAAACACTGACAGTGTAATTACAGTAATCCGTACAAAAAGAGCTACTGTCAGTTCAATGACAGACTAGGACCTCGGCTATCTCACTGATGATAGGACCCAACATTACACCCACAGTAATGCACCAAGCAGGGACTGACTGAAGGGAGTTTAATTGGCCAATGCCCTTGCTTATATGGTTAACCTCTTGCAGACCACAGATAGCCGAATGACGGCTGCACTGCGGCCGGTCAGTTCTGGGTGGACGTCATATGACATCCTCCCAAAACGCACTCTCCTGCATGCCCCCCTACGTGCAAAATTTTATAATAGAAAAAAAAACTTTTTTTTCAAATTTTTTGCTGTTTTTTTGTTTATAGCACAAAAAATAAAACACCCAGCGGCGAGTAAATACCACCAAAAGAAAGCTCTTTTTTGTGTGAAAAAAAATGATAAAAAAATTTCATATTGGTACAGTGTTGCATGACCATGCAATTGTCATTCAAAGTGCGACAGCACTGAAAGCTGAAAATTGGCCTGGTAAGGAAGGGAGTATAAGTGCCGGTAGGCAAGTGGTTAAAGATCAGCTTCAGAGCGCTTTCCTGTAGATCATTTCAATTTTCACCAGAGCTGGTGGAAAGGCTCATTTGCATGCTGAGCCAAGGCCATCCACAAGTCAGGACTGCAAATCCTGGAATTCAATTTTATGCATATGCCAGGGGAAGGATGTGGCTATATAAAATCCCTAACCACTTCATAGGAACCAACTTTGTATTCAGCAGTATCAGCCATGCTGCAAAGCTAGCCCTAGATGGACAGGTGTCTCTCTTAGAACACCACATTTGCCTATTCTGTGTAACAGACCTATCACTAATGTTCTGGATGACTCATCCAATAAAAAATGCAAGAGGAAAAGAATGCAGATTTTAAAGGCAAGAATATGTAAGCAATGATCAGTTTTAATATCTGGAAATACTCATCACCACCCTCTAGGGCAGGCCTGAACAGTCTGATCCCTGTGTTGGTCCTATATCAGACATCACATAAAGACTGAGCTGTTTATAGCCACGCTAAGAGGCTTGACTGGGAAGTTCTAAAGCTGTGGACCTCTGCTTGAACTAGTGAGACTTTAAACTTTAGGAATGCCTACAAAGCTTACATTCTTCTTCAAAAAGCGATCAAAGTAAATACAACATTTAACACCTAATTAATGTCCTTTAGTCTAAGTTTGAATTGAAAGGTCTCATTTTCCATTTTTCTTTTGTGGTCTCCTAAAAAAAAAAAAAAAAAAAAAAATCAGCACTTTTACCTTAAAGCTCATCTTGGGAAAAAATAATAAATGCACATATTTTAGCAGAAAAATAAATTAGCATTTATTATTTTTCCCCACAGGAGCCTGAAAAGCACTGCACCCATGATCAGTAGATCAGGGGTGCAATGTCCAGACAAGCCCTGCAGCTTTCAGCCAGTATCTCTGCACAAGCTGTCAGTTTGCAAGCTGCAGGGCTTGTGAACGAATTACCAGCAAGCTCATTAGAGCCCTCACAGTTCATTCAGAACTACAAGCTGTCTGCTGCGATGGTAGACGGGACTTGTAGTGCTCTCATTCACAGACTGTAGTGCTCTCATTCACAGACTGCAACGCTGTTTTCAAAATGTAACAGCGGGTGCGGGGAAAGGATCTCCTGCCCACCATCACAGGGAGGAGGATTGGGGGGGGAGTGGACATGTATTAGAGAATGTTACAAGTTACACCTTAAATAATAAATGTAACATGCTCCAGAAGGTGAACGTATGCTTTAAATTCTAGAGGTATTTCACAATACACTAAAATACTCTGTGCAAGCCTAAAAAGGGATATTTGGTCAATGGTGTCACAGGAATCCACAATATGGTCCATATTGTTTATATCCGTTGTCATCCGAGTGATCATTCATAAGAGAGCAATCTTTGGGATCAAATGTGTCAGCAAGGTTTTTTCTTTCGATGGGTTCTCATTCATGATGACTGATGTTAAACTACATTGCTGGATATTTTTGGGCTTTTTGTAATAAAGAACTTGTAAAAAACTATGCATTTTTATTTACAGTTTACTTTTTTCTGTATGACTAGGGATACTCACATAGGAATGGGGGTGTGGTATCTGGATGCCATGACAAATCCCTCGCTAACAAGCAGCAAGATGATGTAAGCAATGATAAGTTTCAATGCATCCTCCTTCAGGGTAGGTGTGAACAGCGCAATCCCTTATGTTGTTTGCATGTGGTGTGCATAGGATATGGTTCAGGAAGATGGGGGCTTCATGCTCATTCCCCTCTTGCTGGCCTGCCAGGATGCTTGCTCTGTTAAAGGTCTGGTATAGATTTAGGGAATTCCCAGCCACTTTGTTTATTAAGCAGCTGAAGCCATCAATTGCTGGCAAATCAACCTTTTTTCTCCTTCTTTGTAAATATAATGTTTGCTGTAGCAGGTTGTATACATCCTACAGATACGCCACTTCAAAAGCAGGCTGAGAGCGGTGAGGGGTTAGAAACCTTATCAGGTTTTACTGCTGTCTTTGTCTCCATTAGGGAAATTTAGCCTCTCTACTTCTCCTGATGACCACTGTCGCCCAGACATTCAAGTAAATAAAAATCAAAAATTTTGAGTTATTACCAAAAAAGCTAATCGTCAATGAGGACACTCTTAGGTGATAACTTTCTCCTTCTGAAGTTGCCATTTGATGGTCAGTAATGCTCTTTCAGGTGATTTAATCAAACTACTCATCTTCACATATAAAAACTTCACTATTTGTCTTCACATTCAGGAATGTGCATTTAATTACTGTCACGTTCATGGTATTTTTCACACTTTTTTGCTAGCAATTTGGATTCTTTTTCTATAAAAGTTTTAGTGATAGGAGTTCCTACGAAGATTTCTTTTTACTGAACAAAAATTTCACTGAAAAAATTCCAATTCTTTTTGTTCTTCAGTTTTCAAACACAAAATTGTGACTAGATCATACCCAGCTGTACCAGCGGTATCATGATTTGTATTGATTGGACAGAATGCAGAGCTTGAGGCTACCAAGGAGAAAGTCCTTGAAAGAGTCACAACCATACACCCATCCCTAATGGTGCCGACATCTCATTTGTCCATGTCACTATACTGACCTGCATTTTGCGTTGCCCCTGAATTTGCAGTCAGGGGTACAACAAGGATCATTGTGTTGACGTAACAGGCCTGGGTCACAGTCCTCCCCCTCATCCACTCTAGAGTTTCCACACACTTTGTTGTTCCGTTCCTTAAAGCAGATGGAAGCCTTACTCATCAGTGTACGCAGGATGGATTCTCTGCTGCAGCTAGAGAACATCTGAGAGACGGAAACAAGTTCATTCACCATATGTATGTGACTACTACTCTCCAAGAAAAGCAGACTTACAATATATGTAAAACTCTGTAATATGTCGGTGCTATATAAATACCTGTAATAAATAAATAACTAGATGTTAACGATCACCCACTAGTTCAATAGGAGAACGTGAGAATACATTTAATGGAGAAGCTGTTTAAAGTAAATACATATCTGTGAAAAATAAAGTTTTGCTTAATTATGCAAACACTTTATAATACTTAGGTACCTACTGTTAAATAGGACAAAAACGCAGAAATTTCACCAAATTTCCTACAAAACCTTAAGAAATAAAGCAAGGGAACAGCGAAAAAAAAAGGCCTTAAAGCCCCGGAGGTTGTGAAATATACACAAAAGTACCTAAATTACTTATTCTATTCATGCAACATGGATTCAGCAATGTGTATCATTAGTAAGTGTCATATTTATTTTTTTTAAATATTTGTTTGTACCCTTTCCCCCTTTTGTTGCATCTTAGTACTGCTTATAGCCTTTATGCAGCCACTCTGAAAGAAATATTATACATGCACTCCAGGACGGCTACATGGAATTTCTTAAGGTAGGTTTCCGGATGGTGAAAACAGTTTCTCATGGATGGGGGGCCTGACCACCACCTTGTACCTATGCAAAACCAGAAAGAGTTCTCTCCAGGATAAAGCCTCCAGTTTATACACTCACCTCACAGAGGTGACGGCTACAAGTAATTTTACATTATGGATAAGATTAGGGAGATTAATGTCTCAAATCGGTTCAAACAGTGATTTCTGAAGCACAGGAAGAACAAGATTTAGATCCCACAGAGTCACAAAGGAAAGGGACGGGGGAAACCCCCTGTACAAAGGCCCTAATCAAGGCGTGAGAGGCCAACTCTGAAACAGTATAGAAAATGCAGAAACATTGGCAAATGGAACTGCTTCAAAAGCAGGCTACAATCAGGCACTAGACTCTCGTGCAAATGCAGAAAGTCAGGCACCTGCTAGACTGGAGAGCTAAAATCTGAAACCAGAGTTTGATGTTTCTGATGTGCTATGTAAAGAACTAAAGCCCTCTAAAACGATGAGACAATTCCAATGTTTCCTTACGGTTCAGGATCCACCTAAACTACTGTAATATCTGGGAATTCAAGGCCACATTGTCCAAGAAAGCCAGCAATGACTGCTCCCTCAACAGGAGGTTATCCTAATACTCGAAAATAGGAATGCTACAAGAGCACAGCAGGGCTAATACTTGGGCTGGAAATGTGGCAAACACCCGAGGTGCAGGTGAGAGGCTGAAGGGCAAGGCCATGATCTGGTATCGTAGCAACCCCACAGCAAAATGGAAAAAACAGAAAATCTACCTGGGGAAGGGAGGCGATGAATGATTTGGTGGACTCCATGCAGAATTTCAAATTTCTCAGCTCAAAATGAAGACATTCAGAACTTTGAGATCCAAAATGGCACAGATGACTACTTGGGGTTTGAGAATAGTAAACAAACTGGCGTAAAACCCCTGAAACCATCCTGCCACAGGAACTGGGGCAATTGCACCTTGATCCTGAAGACCAGAGAGGCGCAATGGATATCTGCTAATCTGTGCAGTGACACAGAAAGTTGAAGGTAAGAAACCAAGGAGGTTGCAGAGAGAGACACTTCACTTTGTAAACCAGGGATACCCACCTTCTGCACCCAAGCGTAAGTGATGGAAGCTGTCCAAGCATCTGCAAAGGTTAACAAACATCCCCAACTAAGGAAAGTGGGAGTACACCTTCATGCAGAAAGCCTTGTCCAAGTATTTAGCAGACTGAGTACTAGACCTTTCAGGCAGACTGGGGTCCTGATGAGGAAGTCAAGGGAGTGGAGAAACTAAAAGGAACATTTCTTAACAGTATGAGAGAAGTCTTGCCAGTTAGGCTTTTACCACTGAGTAGGATAGGTGCTCTTACTGGTGATATTACCAAGAGTTAATTTGAAGATATGTTGTCCTTGAAAGCCATACAGATGAAGTGCTTCTTAAACAATTGTCCTCTCTTTCTTGTATTTCAACCAAAGAACCTTACGCATGTGTACTGACATGAGACACATGCAAGAGACAGGAGACTTCCAGCAGACCGTCACAACTGAAGTCCAAAGCTATAGCCATTTGCCGCAAGCATTCAATAAGCAAGGGATCACCTGCAGAAGAGGTTAGGTCTCTTTTGAAGGATTTAGGCTAGAATTACATGGTTTGACGAGTCACAGCCAGGATCAGGTTAACAGCAAAGCTAGCCAGCAAAAAGAAAGCTATAGAAAGGGTTTCCAAATGCTTACTGGTTGGGTCCTTAAAGCAGCTGTAAAAGTAATTTTAATAAAACAAAAAAAATATGCTCTACTTGCCTTCAAGCGGTAAATAATAAAAAAAAAAAAAACTGGTCCCCCCACAGGGTAAAGTCACAAAGTTCTAGTATGTGGTGCGTACTAGCCCATTATGACAGACTTACCTGTGAATTGAATCCCTCCAGCAGTGCCCTGGAAGCATTGACAGGGAATCCATCTTCACCAGCTGCTCTTCCTTCCGTGTTCGCTGGCTCTGTCCACTTGAATGGCCAAGCCGCGACAACGTCACTCATGCACATGACGTCACCGACTGCTTCACAAGTAAATATCTCCTAAACGGTGCATGTTTAGGATATATTTATGGCAATCTACAGGTAAGCCTTATAGCAAAAAAGGGAGTTTACTCCCACTTTAATGCAGGAAATGCAATAAGGTAAAAAAAATGTTTTAACTTTAGAACCAGGCACGTCTTCAACTGGAATAGCAAGCAATTAATTAAGGTGGGGGACACTGCTGGATCCAGAGCGAGAATAGACCACTTCTGCACCAAACAGTTACAGCGCTAAAAAGCACTTGGGGGAGCAAACAGTTTATCGGGATGCTTTCAATCTCTATAGAGAAAGGGTTGGAAAAGCAGATGTAAATGATATGTCTTTGTGACCTTAACAGTTTTAAAGGACCCAAGACTGAAAAGAGCACTGCTGAAAGCAACAGGCTGAGCCTTTCGTTTCAGAGTGGTGCACACTGTATCAATAAGAGCTGAAACAGTCTCCATTCATTTGAAAGTAATACCAGAAGCCTGCCACTCCTTCAGTGTAAGCTCATTAGTTAAGGACTGGAGTGACACAAAATCACAGTCTCTAAGACCAATGGCTCAGAAGACAATAAAACCGTAGGCCAGTCAGGTATAGAATCTGCAGAAGGTGCGAGGGCATGCTTGTGGCCTCTGCAGCCAGAGGCAGCATATAACTGGGTGAAATGGGGCAGAAAGTCTTGCATAACTGTAGTAAAAAAAAACCTCAGTCAAAATTACAGAAGGTGCAACCACACCCAATGAAGCTTAAGAGGATGGGGATACAGTCCAAGAGCAGAGGGCAATATGACTCCAGGATGCAGACATCGCCACCATCAGTAGACACACTACAAGCAGCTCCAGAACCATTAGGAAGTGAGCTGCGGGCACCTGAAATGGTGAGCATGTCATCTCCAGACCTAAATCACATATAGCCTCTGGGTAAGAGGCAAGGCCTCAAGCACTCATGAAACCCAGTCAACTAGTAGCAGGTGAAGGTCAAATTACTAAAAGTTACTGAAGACAGGCAGCAGAATGGATTGGAAATCAAAGTTCTACATGGCTCTTTGCAAGCAGGAGCAGTAGCATGTAGATGCTTTCTTAGCACTGTATGGCAGTAAAGAGAGCTCTGAATATGCAAGTGTAACATTCCACCCAGTGGATGACATCAGCTCCCAGTGTTCAGTCTGACCGGTTCACAGAGCCTCACTAAGTAGATTTTAACTAAGACTCACTAACTAGATCTTCAGAGATGGGGCAAGCATTGAGGAAGGAATAAAAAAACAGCAGAAATGAAGAAAAGATGTCCATCCTGCCAGGACACTAGCAAAAGCTGAGACACGCTAGTAGAAGTATACCAGCATCCAATCTTTCTGTACACGGCAGCATAACCCGAAGGTTACAAACATTCTGTGTCCTTCAAGGGAAAGGAAATAAAATGCCATTTATCAAACTATCTTTTGTGGGAGACATCAGGAGGCTGGCCAAGAAACTCAGACATTGCCTAGTTATCGACTCCAATTCTTTCTGTGTGAATCTAAAATCTCCCTGCCCCCCGCAGCGGTCATCAGCACTTCATCTAACAAGCCATTATTAAATCATCCTAAATGCACACGCACCATATGTGTGATGTTGTATGAGAAGAAGGACAGCAGCTTTAAGCACTGTACTCTATTTTCTAGTGTTACAGAAAAGGAACAACAATCATCTGCTAAAACTTTATGCAATAGTTGTACAAAGTATAATCTTCTGAAAATGATGAGGAGTATTATTGCATATGGCTACCTTAAAGAATGCAAGCTGTGCAAGACAGAGCAGTGTACCTTATTGTTCTGGTGGTCTCCACTCACAGCTATGGGGTACATCACATATTTCCCACCTCGCTCCTCACTGGGTGCACACAGCTCCATGCTGTCTGGATCGTGTTCAGACCCGAAGTTATGGCCCAGCTCATGAGTAGTCACCAGGTCAGCTTCCTGTCCAAAAATGACAAAAGTTTAACTAACCAAAAGACAAAATGTGGGAATTGCAGAGTCCATCTTAAAGAACACCTGTCATTTCTGATAGTTCATAAATAGTGCAGTCAAAAAAAAAAGGAATTTTGACTTACCTGTACATTTAATATCTAAGAGTACAGTACAGGACACAGGCAAAGTATTCATAGACCCTGGGCTATAGGCTTGCACCACATGTGATGGGACACGGACACACCCACTGGGTGCCTTCCCTATAACCCTACCCCACTCCATGAGGCTTCAATTATCTACCAAGCAATGCAGAGTAACCAAGGAATGGAATGGAGGGTGACCTGCATCTCGTGCTATAATCCAAGATATGGAATTTACAGGCGAGTCAAAATTCCTCTTCTTTAAATCGTACAGGACACAGGCAAAGTTTGCACCAGCTCAGCTTCCTGACCAGAAATTACACAAGTTTAACCGCACCAAAGACAAGATCTGGGAATTGCAGAGTTCAACTTAAAAAACAGCTGTCATTTTTAATAGTTTGAGCCATAAATACAGCTGCCAAAAAAGAGGAATTGTGACTTACCTGTACATTCAATGTCTAAGAGTACAGTACAGGACACAGGCAAAGTATTCACAGAACATGGGTTATAGGCTTGCACCTCATGTGATTTAACCGTGACAAAGCTTTCACCAAGTACCGAGGCGAGCTTCTGTGCAGGATCCAGTGCCCAAAGCAACATTACAGGTTGTTCCCACAGTTTGGGGTCTAGGTACGGTTCCCAAGTTTTTAGTGAAGGTCCACCGATCTGGATGTACTGCTTCTATTTGTGATATTAGAAGGCAGTAAAGGAGATGACTGAAGAGTTAAGAATCAGATTATAAAATAGTAAAATGGTTAAGCAAAGGGTTATTTTCTCTGCAAGGGAGAAGAGGTCCATCACCTTAGGCACTAGCAAAAAACTAAGGACTCCCAGAGTGGTGTAGGGTTAAAGAGGAGGCACCCAGGGGGCATTTTCTCAAAATCTTTTCCAGCGTCCAATCACCTGAAAGTATGAGCCTATAACCCAGGGTCTATGATGACTTTTGCCTGTGTCCTGCACTACACTCCAAAATATGAAATTACAGGCAAGTCAAAATTCCTTCTTTTTTTTGGCAGCAGTATGCGAACATATCACTTTTCATTACTCTGATCAAATCAATTTTTTGTTTATATTCAATATTTAAAGACATTAAAGCTCAACTCTAACCACCCTAGTATTACTGTAAATAGAAGGATGAAGGGTTAGAACATGCCAGATTCCCCCCTTGGGAGGTTTCTATTCCTCAAGACAAAACAGGAAGAGTGGAAAAATCTCCCTACTTCCTGTCTGACTGGTGTCAGACAGCAGGTAGTGGGCAGAACTCTCCCCAGCAGGAAAACAAACGGAAATAAAAACAAATAATCAAATTCCAGTGGGTGGAACCACAGAACAGCATTTGCTTTAAGGCAGTGCTGCAAAACCATATTTCAACATTAGGTGGTGATGCAGATGAGACCAGTAAGAGCAAAGAAGAAATTAACCCTCCCATGTTGCAAAGGGGAACTTCCAAACAGACAGTCCCACAATTTTGCAAATCATTAAATAAAGCATTGGTAAAAACCGCACCGATCAGCTCATCTTCTATAATAAAAGGGATTAAAGGCCTTCTGTTCATACCTTTGTCAGAATGGTTTTCCCATAATTTTTTGTACTTGTCAAACCGGTGTTTAAATAAATAGCCTTCTGTGATGATTCACTTTTATAAGCTGTGAGGAGAGAGAGATGAAGTCATGTCAGATGTGACATTTGAGAATAATGGAAAAACAGAAGTCACAGACGACTTACTCAGACTGAAACCATGAAACAAAATCTCCTGTGACATTACTATCACACCAAAGGACGTGGAGTAGGACTGCGCAGTAAAGGCAAATTGACAAAACAGACACTTAGACATGATGAATAGGTCAAAGGCAGCTCAAACAGGCACTAGAAATTCAAAGACACACACTGGCCAAATAACACTTCCAATGACAGCTTTGTCTATAACTGGGAGATCTACTACTTGCACAGTCCTTTACAAGCTCTGAAAATAAATGAAAGCACACAGGGGCTAACCCAAAGGATAGTTTGTACACTATAACAAGTGACCCTACATGCTATTCTTGGATACTGGCCCCAGAAGGGCAGTTTTTAAGCATCTACATATATTGAGGAACAAAAAATGATTCCCAGTGGATACAAACAATCGGCACAGTTCATGGGGGGCTTTATCCAATTGATCTGCATCATTTGGCTTATTTCTGCCAGGCAGTAATACGTATGTTTAAGGTTTTTTACCAAAAGTCAGAAAAGGCAGAGATGAATCATAAATCTGAGATGACTGATCCATGAACCGATTGCAGAAGAAAATACTTGGCCCACAGAAGGAAGGGAGTTCATGTGTTTCACCATTGTTTTGATGTTCATTAATAGCTGTCCAGAGTGCAAACAGGAGGCAGGGCATTGGCACAAAGTGTATCATGGGATTTGACAAAGTGTTGTCTCATATGCAATGTGATCACAAGAGTCTGAGAATTGCTTTACAGTTATGTTGCAACTAAAAGCAGTTCCCACATCTGTGTTCGTATACAGTACTTAGTACTTTATCTAGAGTTGACCTCTAGAAAACCATAAATACTCCAGGTTCTGAATGGGAGGGCCACCTGGACACAGATGTAAAATAAAGAGAAAAAAAAAAAAAAAAAATCACAATTTTGATTTCATTGAGAACTAATAATGCACCAAAGTAAACTTTCTTTATGCAGTACTTGACCTTCGGAATGTACAATAGCTATTCTCCAATATTCTGCTTCAGCGTTTCTGGTTATCCTCCCTTGCCTCCGACAAACATGTATGCTCTTAAGGTGTTAACTTCATTCTATATAATGTGACAAGACACGAGTATGTTGAAGGATTATTGAGAGGTAGAGAAGGTGCAGATGGTCACAGTCCACCTGGGCACTGCCTCCATTGGCTGTGCTCATTGCAGCTAGAGTTCCTCTGCCTGCTGTTTTTAGGTTATTGAACCCTACAAACAGCATCTCCCTGTGTGTCTAACCTTGTTTATTTTGCCAAGCACAGTGTAAGAATAACTTAACAAAACAGTATACTATTCAGATCTTTTGCACATCACTCAACAAAGCATACAAGTGTAGCCTGAGGCAGATGGGACTTTGACAGCCATTTAAGGCACTGCCTACACCCGGCCTTAATGCGTTTCCAGAACACATTAGGATATTAAAGTGAAAATTCCCTCTCTCAATCAACATTGTCTGTTTTTAATCCTTATGCTGCTAGCATATAGAACTACTGCTACAGGGCGGCAGGGCTGCGCAAAATCATGTATATATGCACACACGTGTTCTGCATTTCTGGGTAGGGAACGCGTGCGCGTGGCCCTACCCGCACTGCCATTGGCAGCTAGGGATGTTAATCACTTGCACCTGGTTGGAGATTCTCCACCGTCCCCCAGTGATCGCCAGCTAAAGTGGACAGGGGAGAGACCTATGTGTAAACAATACAGGTCTCTCCTGCCAGCAAGAACATGCTGCTTTATATTTCTTGCAACAGCAGAGAAATACAAAGCAGCATGTCTGAGGTGTAAAACAGCACACGTAGTAAAAACACACACAGCACACAGTTAACCCTTTGATCACCTAAACTTTAACCCCTTCCTGCCCAGTGTCATTTCGTACAGTGTCAGTGCTTTTTATTAGCACTGATCGCTCTATTAGTGCCACAGTCCCGCTATAAGTCACCGATCGCTGTCATTACTAGTATTAAATAAATAAAAATGCCAGTGTGTGTGTGTATATATATATATATATATATATATACATACATATACACACACGTGTGTGTGTGTGTGTGTGTGTGTGTGTGTGTGTGTGTGTGTGTGTGTGTGTGTGTGTACATATATATAATATATATATATACACACACACACACACACACACACACACACACACACACACACACATATACACACACACACCGCCATTTGTAGACACTATAACTTCCATGTAAACCAAATTAATTTACACATATTGGGATTTTTGTATTTTTTTTTTTTTAGTAAAGACATGTAGCAGAATACATTTTGGCCTAAATTTATGCCGAAATTTGATTTAATTTTTTTTATTTCATGTTTGTCAAAAATATGTAATTTTTTTCAATTGTCGGGTTTTTTTGTTTATAGCGCAAAAGATAAAAAAAGATAATGCAGCGCCGTATCACAAAAAAAGGCCTGGTCAGGAGGGGGGTAAATCCTCTGGAGGGCAAGTGGTTAAATTTTGTTTCACTTTCCTGAGTTACTTCCTAGTTTCCATGCCTACGCAAACTATGTCACACACCCCAGGTTCTTCTGGAGGGGTTTTCTCAGCTAAGGCAGATGGATTGCAATTCCAGGAAGTAAATTCATCTGCCCTTACTTAAGATGGTCACGGCCAGAAATGCTGGTGGGGGGGGGGGGGGGGGGGGGGGAGAGTTCAATGTGATTTCTCAGCAAAATAAATCATGGAGACATGGATGGATGGGGGAGTTTTCTTTGAATATTAAAAAATTAAAATGATGTTTTTGGTTTGTAGTGCTCAGATGCAGTTTAGTTCCTCTTTAAACAAAGACCAACCTTTAGGGCAGATCCCTCCATGGGTGTTTGGCTTGTGGGATCCTACATAAGCCAATCCTAGAGTCCCCATGTCAAAGTCCTGATAGGTGAAGAGATGGGCCAGACAGACACCAGATGCCTTTTCTGAAATATCATAGCTGAATTGCTGTAGAAGGGAAAAAAAGTGATGGTTAGGTTGAACCACAGACTAACTGTAAATGTTTTACCGATGCAGTGAATTAAAGAGGACATGAACACAAAGTTAAAATGTCTATTGTGCCAAAGCTGTACCCTATAAAATGCACCCATTTCTTTTAAAACACAAGAAATACAGCAGTGACTTTTAGCTGCTTGCTGGAGAGGAAGCTGTACCTAAAGAATGGAAATCCAACCATGCATCTCCCTGCTTCTACTTCATCCATTCTGTGCATCTGTGCTTCCTTCATCTCTCCTGCTGCTTGATTACCCCCACCAGTCATCAAATCAACAAAAGACCAGACCACCATAAATTAACACCAACAATTAAAGCAGTTCATAAACTGCAATATGTCTGATAAAATTATATAAGCACCTGGTGTAACACGCCTACCCTCTTACCTCCAGCAGCTGCTTTACATCCCAGGCATCCTTGTTCTCATTCGGATAATTTTTGGCCATGTTGTAGTGTATTTTCGAATTAGTCACATTCTCTGGCTCCTTGTGGACAATGATCTATTCATAAGGAGGTATATAGTTAGTCAAGTCTAGAACAGGTAACAATTTTGTTCTAACTGCGCTAAATAACTTGAATTAAAAAGGGACCACCAACATGTCATAGAACGCAGTCCACCAAATTTTTTTTATTGTATTATCTCACTCATGAAAGTCAATGTGACATGCTCTAATTCCAAAACATACGTGATACAATCTGAAAGAAAATCTTTGTGCCTGGCAGGGTAAAAAGAAATATATAGAATTAAATGGACTCAGGAAACATTGCTCTTAGCACCCACCCACATGTCTGCATTGACTTCATATCAATAAATTGGGTCATTCTTGCTCAGTCTTTTTCATATGTGTTTTTTGAGTGCAGAATATAAATTGCTGTTTTCGTCTGAGAGCAAATGCACTAAAAATGTATGTATTGCACATGCACTACAACTAATTTTCTCAAATGCACCACATAAAAAAAAAAAAAACAAAAAAAACAAAAAAAAAACAAAACTTTGATCAGAGATCTCACCATTTGGTTAGCTAATTTTAAACATATAAGACTAAATTAAAAACAAGTGTGAGTGAATCTTTAACTTGCAATGCTTACTCCAACAGTTTTGTGATACTAGCTGAGCAAATAAAAAAACATGTTTCCAATAGCAACCAAAAAGTGTTCTGCAACCTGCACAGCCTAAACTACATCTGCAAAAAAAAGAAATGCCAGGGCTGCAATTGCTGATATTTTGAAAATGCTGGTTGCCTGGCTTCAATACTTCTAAATCACAGACACGGAAAAAAAACATCCTTATCTCAACGCTTGCTCCATCTCAGGTGCCAAAATGACAGCTAAGCAAGGTGCATTTTTCCGTTGGAAAGATCAGCTTATACAGTGATCAGCCATAACTTTATGACTACTCATCAAAGATTAAATAGGCCCCCCTTTTGCCGCCAAAACAGCCCTGACTCATTGAGGCTTGGACGCCACTAGACCTCTGAAAGTAACAAGGCTGTTTTCAGCAACTAATCAGATCATCCATAACTTGGTAACCATCCAAAGAATTGGGAAAAGGAGACTCTAGCTAGTTACTGTGTGTAATAAAGCCACCATGCTTTCAGACATTTTAAAGGCAATTTAATACAAGTGGACATGTGTGCTTCTAGCTGCCAAGAACCTGTCATATCAAATTATTGTACCATAGGCAATGTGATGAAGAATTTCAGTACTCAGAAATAAAGAGGGCAATTTGCGGTTTCTAAAACAATAGTACAGTACCATGCAAATTGTGACAATAATGAGTGATATTCATTAAGGACTTACAACCTGCAATCCTTTGTAGACGGCATTTGATGCTACTTGTAGTTCTAACACTGGTACATATTCCCATTTATGCACACGGTTTTTGCTTCTACTAATCTCAAGGCTCTGCATATGGCAGATTGTTTGTATATATGCTCTCTTCCTCCTCCATCTCAGTGTCTGCTCATCTTCCTGCTTCCTCTGAGAAGTGAAGTGTTGCTCAGTCACCTTATGCTGCAGCCTCCTGTTCTCTATCTCATTTCTTTCTGGCAGCCATTTCACCCAGTTCTGCTTAAAGAGTATATGAGTATATCCATTTTTGTTGAAAAAAAAAAAAAAAAAAAAAAATCCAAAAACAATCCCCTATGGATGATCAATGTACATTGCAGGGATGATTTTAACACCCTGTGTTGCAGAATCCTACCTGTCTGTTTATGTCAATGTGGGAATTACTTTTCATTATTAACCACTTCAAAACGGAGCCAATTCTGACATTTCTTGTACACATGTAAAAATCAGCATTTTTTGCTAGAAAATGACTTAGAATCCCTATGGAGTGGTAAATTATTGCTCTCTCTCTGATGTCATGACGATACCCCACCTGTGTTGTGTGGTGTGATCACCGTTTACATATGTGTGCAGGACCTACGGTCACGTTTGCATCTGCGAGGGGGGGGGGGGGGGGGGGGGGGGGGGGGTAGGGAGCTTTAAAAAAAGTTTTAGATTTCCTTGCGAGCATGAGCATTACAGGTTCACTTTATCGAGAAAGATCTTGGATCTATTAAATTCCATACCTCTTCTCTGCCCTCCACAGCAGCCGATCAAACCTAGATGATGGTGAGGGAAACAGGAAGTCATGAACCTTCGGGTTATACAGTACTTCTTCTGCCTACAGGAGGACTAGACACTGGCAAACTAAAGCAATATAGGCCAGCCCACTATAACCCCTCCTACTACCAGCATACCTCAGTAAAGCAGTACCATAAGCATGACCATAAAACACAAAGCGGTGGGACCTGTGTCTAAGAGCATGAAATATAAACACAGTGGATGGGACCGGTGTCCCTCAATGGACTCCAAGGAAAGGATTTTACACCATTACAAAAATCCTATTTTCTCATCCATTAAGAGATGCAGGAAATATTTCACTTTTAGGCGGTCCAAAAGCAGCCCAAATAAGAAGTGGGTAACACAAGTAACATGTAAGGATTTTTTGCTGTACACAGAAGCCAGAAAGTCTCCCTGGTGAAAGTAGGGAGGCAGAATTGACTGATATTTCAAGAGGAATTTCTGGATCCAAATGAAGACAATCAAAGCTTTTGGATCCAGAATGGGTTGATTGCCTCCTTTGGGCTTAAGAACTGATGAAATAAAGCCTCTGGAAGCCATTCTGCCATAGGAACTGGGACAATGAAACCTTGATCCAGCAGACTCAAGAGGGTTTGAATGAAGACCTGCATCTGTGTGATGACAAAAAGGTGGGGAGTTGAGAAAACAAAAATGGGGCAGGGAGCAAAACTTAGTTTCGTAGCATTGAGATACCACCTCCTGCATCCAAGCGTCGTTAGATTCAAGCTGTCAAATTATCAGCAAAAGTTAAAAAAAATCCATACTTTGGAAAGTGGAAGGCGCACTTTTTTATGCAGAGGAACATTTGTCTGAGGATTGAAATCCAGATCTAGTGGGCGACTTTACAGACTATTTCTTGGGCTTCTTCTGCTGAGGAAGATGGTTGTCCTTGCAATAGTAGCATTAATGATGATGTAATCAACATGCAGATCCAAAGAGAACTCTCCATTGAAGGTCAGGGGTCAAGAGGACTCCAGGCTGCAGACATTGGCACCATCAGTAGGCACACTGCAAGCAGTTAGAATCAGACATCCAGGCAACAGCCAGGGCAGCAGGCCTCAAGTATTCACTTCAAATTCTCTCCATGCAAGCACAGAAATGGAGCAAAGATCAAAGTTCAGTGGGGCTCTTTGCAGCAGGGAAATGTTTATTAAATGCTGTATGGAGGGAAAGAGCACAGAACATACATGCATAACACTTCACCCAGTGGATTACCTCAGTGCTCAGTCCTACAATAACCCTTTCCATAAAACCGGTGGGAATGGGGATATACTGGCACCCAGCAACCAATGTATATGAGATAGTTACAAGTGTTTGGCCCAACCAGCCTACTCACTATAGAAATCTTTAGAGACATACAAGCATTAAAGCAATACAAGATGCTCTGGACTTGAAAAGTGCGTCACAGCGAACCTATTCTCCACGTGTAGAACCCAGTGCCTGAAGGTCACTTCCAGGTCATATCCATTCCAAAGTCCGAAAGCCAGCCTAAGGATGATTGCATCAGATAGCTGCAACAAAGAAACCTCTGCAGTGATACAGAAAAGATTCTGCATGGAATAAAAAAAATCAAACTGAAAAAGTACTAGAAAAAAATGTTTATTCTTTTACACAGCATGACTGACAGAAATATGTCCATCTTCACAGAATACTAGCAAAAACCGAGGCATGCTGGTAGTAGAAGGATTCTCCTTGGCTGGTATACGTGTTTTGTTTGCCACTGTCCAATCCTCTTGTAGGCAGCAGTATAACCAAAAAGAAAAAAAGAAAAATGTCTGCGTCCCTCTTTGGACAAAAAAGAAAGATGAACTTGGGTCACGTCCAGAGCCTTCTTTGTGGTCCTATATTGGGATGTGTGTTCTCTTAGGGAGACTTAAAGTGTTACTAAACCCAGGACCCTGCATTCACTATATCTGGTCTCCCACAGTACACAGAACATGGAAGTGCAATTATTTTAGTAAATATAAACTGCTAAATACCTTTTCTCATCAGCAGTATAGAGCCATCTTGTGACTTCAGCAGAACATTGGTTAAAGTTTGTAGGAGAGTTTTCTTTCTGCTCTAGGAGGATGCAGAACCCCTGACCTCTGTCTGGACAGTGTGTTGATTGGCCCTGTGCGGATCACATGCACTCTCCCAAGGAAAAAAAAAACCTCTCTAGCAATACACAGCAAACTGAGTATGTGCATGTGACTACAGGTTCAGTCTGTCTTATCAGGTGGACATAGCAAGAGGAGGGGCAGAGAAAAGTATGCTTTACTGCATATACAGACTGATGTTATACTGTTGTGGGTTTAGTAACACTTTGACAGAAGGGAGAGAGCCAAGCCCTTGTTTTTCACAGGAAAAGCAGAGATTTGCATATAGAAACTTTAGCTAGCTACATCTTTGGATATGATGATTGTTTTGAGATACAGTTTACAGTGATGCTGCAATTCTCAAGGTATACATAGGGATATGATGTATATTCTCTCAGATTTGTTTACAGTGCAACACATTGTCACGAGCTATGAATAATGATCCACCGATCAGGTCCTTCAGTTTAATAATACATTTTTTCAGGTTGGCTAATGGCCTCTCTTAGAGGGTAAAATGTTTGACACTCTGACAGAGCCTTTAGAGTCACCGCTTTTCAGCTTATAAGCAGCCGGTAAAGATACTTTAAGCACTCTATACTCTTCTCTGATTGCCAGATACTCGAAATGGGGCTTATTCCAGATAAACTGAAAGTAGATAACAGAGTGGGGTCCCTGTAACTTTCACAGGCAGAGCTTGTAATTAGCGTATGTACTCTCCAGCGCCTCAGGATATGCACAGCCAAAAGGGAAGCCAAGGGTACCAGGACAGCGACAACCATTAGGAAATGTTCCAGGGGTGCAGCCCTCCTCAGACAGGGAAATCAGCCACTGGATAGAGAGAAAACAGGTGGCGCACACACCTAGTGCATTATCCAAGGTTTATTGTAGGAATTAAATCATAAAAACATACTCACAGACGAAGCATGTATCTAAAAAGCATAGAAAAATGACAATGGCCACAACGGCGGGCAAGGTGTTCTCACTGTCAGGCATCAACAGCGAGGCTCTTACTTTACTTTCCATTCATCATACATCAGCATCAGAGGTTGGTCATCAGCTCTGAGGAAAGGGATTCGTCCCCGAAACGCGTCAGCCATTTGACCACACTGACAGTGAGAACACCTTGCCCGCCGTTGTGGCCATTGTCATTTTTCTATGCTTTTTAGATACATGCTTCGTCTGTAAGTATGTTTTTATGATTTAATTCCTACAATAAACCTTGGATAATGCACTAGGTGTGTGCGCCACCTGTTTTCTCTCTATCCAAGAGCTTGTAATTAGGTCATGAAACTACAAGTTGACATGTTATCCTCAAAACCTTTATAAGGACAAGCAGGCTGAAAAAAATGAAATTTATGGTTTGGAAACCTAGTACAACACAGTTTGACAGAACACAGTTCTGGTGGCTTTATGAGGGCTCAGATCACTCAGTTTTTCTAATTAGGAGTGCCATCATATAGACCAACCACTTTCAACCAGGGCGCCTTCTGCGTTCTTCAGGGGTGCCTTGGCAGAATGCCTAAAAATGTACCCAAACTGCCCCAATATTGTGTACAAGCCAGTGGGTAGATTAAGCCTGTGTTTTTTGATACACAAAGCCACAGGTTTTCACTGTACAATATTACCACCTTGGACACTGTGCAGGCCAGTCACCAGCATCCTAACAACTGTTGACATCATTGGTTGATAAGGAGGACATTGGGCACCTGCACAGCATTCTTGTTTTACTCCCCCCTCCCTCTCTGTCAGCACTGGGATCATGTTAGCTGCATAGGGGAGATAAAATGAGGAAGAAGAAATGCTGGAGCACCAGTGTGCAAAAGTGTATTAGATATGAAAGGCTAGATCGCCTCCAATGTTGGGTGTTGTACGTGTGCAGTTGCTTTTGCAATATGTAAAACTATTAGTTTATTTTTTTACATTTTAGATGGGGGTGCCTTAAGATTGTTCATAATTACAAAGGGTGCCTTGTCTAGAAAAAGGTCGACAAACACGGATACAGACAATGTTAGATAACTAAGTGAAGAGTACGTGGGCAGAAGAGAATGCATGCCTAGTAAGAGGTTTCCTCACTTAAATTTGCCCTGGGAAAGAAAAAAAAAAATGGAAAAACAGAGGAATGCAACGTCTGCCTGCGTTAAGGTACTGTGGAGGGACATTAGACTAAAGATACTAAAGTTAGTGGAGAGGAACTAAACTCTCTCAATCAACATTAACCATTTGTAATCCTTATGCTGCTAGCATTATTAAATTGATAGGAAGATATTTATAAACTAGATGAAGAATTTAGCTGTAACCTATAACTGGCTCCCAGAGACTTATCTTTCATATTAACCACTTGACGACTGGACTATAGCCAAAATGACAGCTACAACGTGGTTGTCTAGTTCTGGGAGGGCATCATATGACATCTTCCAGAACCACGCCTCCTGTGCGCCCCCTGGGAGCTCTGTGATCGCATGGTCTGTCAGACACAACTGATCACATGACATGGTAAAGGGCCAATCACAACGCCTTTTTACCACATGATCAGCTGTGTACAATGACATAAATGATCACAATGTAAATACAGTTGCCGGTTATCGGCTGCGCTTTCCTCGCGGTCACAGCGTGAGGAAAGAGAAGAGCCAGTAATCGGCAAATGTATTTAAAAATCAGAGGCACGCCAGTGCAGCCCCAACAGTGTCCATCAGTGCTGCCAGTCAGTGCCCCCTCTCAGTGACCTTCAGTGCCCATCAGTGGTGCCTCGTCAGTGCCGTCTATCACTGCAACCTCATGAGTGCCGCCTCATCAGTACCCATCAGTGCAGCCTGTCAGTGCCCATCAGTGCTGCATATCAGTGCCCATTAGTGCTGCCTCATCAACGCACATCAGTGAAGGAGATAAATTATCTGTTTGCAAAATTTTATAACAAACTAAAAAAAAAAAAAAAAAATGTATTCCAAACTTTTTGGATTTTTTTTCATTTATCAATAAATAAAAAACTTAGTGGTGATTAAATACCAACAAAAGAAAGCTCTATATGTCTCTATATATATAAAAAAAAAAAAAAGATAAAAATGTCATATGTGTACAGTGTTGCATGACTGTGCAATAGTCAAAGAGTGACAACACTGAAAGCTGAAAATTGGCCTGGGCAGGCAGGGGGTGAGAGTGTCTGGTAGGTAAGTGGTTAAAAGGAATCTCTTTGTCATTCCCTACAGCTCCACTATTATTTCACTGTTCTTACATCAGACCCCATGGTTGTCAGAGGTATACTTATAAAGGCTTGCTTACATTCTACATTCACTCAGTAATCCTCACATAAAACAATAAATCAAAATCAATTTTGTTTTTATCATCATTAAAAGGAAAATATAATGCTTTAGGTCAGCATGGTCTCAAATTGATTTTAAAACATATTCAATCAATTCATCTAAGAATTAATTTTAGTTACAGGTCCACCTTAATAATTACAGTATGTCTAGTGCTGCTACATGAATAGGTAAGAGAAAGAATACAGGATGATACCTGTTCGATCTGTACTCCATATCCTTTCCACTGGGCATCCCACGAGGTATTCCTGTATATGTCATCCACTCTATCAATCAGTTCAATCTACAACACCAAATTTCAGTTAATATTTCTATGAAATGTATAAACGTTATATAAAGATGTCATGCGTAATCCACTTTGAGTGCTATTCAAATGCTGAATGAAAAGGCAGCTAAAGCCATCAATCACAACTTTAATAAACTGTTTCTCCATTCTGTGCGTCATGTCCAAGAAGATACATTTATAGGTTGCATATTGGTTCAGTTCTTCAAAGACAAAAAAAAAAAAAAAAAAAAAAGTACAAAGTAGAAACTGGGATATAGTTTCCTACAGATCAGATTAAGGTTACATCCCTGTGCTCTGCACTGCACAGAATTTGCATGGCAAACGGTGTCATCGTAGACAATATCAATGTGTACTGAAGCATGGTGCCATATATAAACTCCAATCCAGCCATTTTCATAGTTCTAACATTCTACCCGAGTGATATAGTAGTTCTCAAAGTTTAACAAACCTTTAAAGTTTTCTCTTACCAGATAGTTTATGGTGGTGCTCTCCTCATTCCTCCCCATGAAGCTGAAGAATCGATGATCAGCAACTACTAGCATCTTGCATGTGTTCTTATTTGGATCAGGACCTGCCTTCTGTCTCTTCTCTCGGTGGAAATGTTCTATAAAAGAATACAAATACAGTTTACTAATAAATAAGAACAAGTAAACTGAGCCAAAAGTATTCTGCCTCAGTTAGGCCCCCTTTCTGCTGGCACTGCATTTAACTTTTCCTTTATTTAGATGTTCCTGCTAGAACACAGGTCTCTCTGCATTTAGTTTACAATTGGATCCTGGACACACAAAATTCTATTTTCTCTATATACAACTAAAGTAAATAAAGCCCAGTAAATTCTCAGTATGAAAGGCCCCGCTGAAAAATCACTACATACATTAATACGTGTTTGAAAATCTCCTCTGAATGCATATGCAGACAAGTTTGAATGAGGTCTTAAAGGCCGGTTTCTCTAATGCATTTTGTATGCATGCACACACCGATCAGCCATAACTTTATGATTACACACTACTCAAAACAGGCATTAATCTGTTGAGACATGGACTCCACTAAACCTCTAGAGACATGCTGTGGTATCTTGCACCATGCCGCCAGTGTGACCAAGAACCGCACTGACAGGTGCCGCTCAAGGCTCCACTGGGCCTCTTCCATGGCGAACAGCTAGGAGTGCAGGCAAGGACAGAGCTCCTCCCAGCTCCAGATATCAAGTGGGAAAAAAAAATGTTCATGACCAAGCTACAGGGGTAAAGTGAAACGCATCGGGTTTTGCAGAGATGAGTGGCTTATAGGACTTTCTCTTTCCACCAAGCCATCAGTACCAGATACTTTAGGTCCAGAAAAGTTGTGCGGTGCAGCCTTCATAGGTTAGACTTGTTTTTCCAGCACATTCCACATTTGCTCAATTGGATTGAGATCTGGAAAATTTGAAGGATATGTCAGCACCTCAAACATATTGTTGTGCCCCTCAAACCATTCTTGAACCATTTTTGCAGTGTGGTAGGGCGCATGGTTCTACTGAAGAGGTATACTTGGCCACCAACAATGTTTAGGTAGGTGGTACATGTCAACGGACATCCACATGGTCCAGTTTTGATGCTCATGTGCCCATTGTAGGCCCTTTTGGCTGTGGACACGGGTCAGCACAGGCACCCTGACCGGTCTGTGGCTATGTTGTCCCATACACAACAAACTGCGATAACCATTTTTTTTCGCTTTCAACACATCAATATATCAACTTCAGAAACAACATGTTTACTTGCAGCCTTATATATTCCACTAACGTTCAGATTCCACTGTAACATGATAATCAATGTTATTCATTTAACTTGTCAGTGGTCAAAGTTATGGCTAATTGGTATATATATAAAAAAAAAAAAAAAAAGCTTTAAAAAGGACCTAAGTTAGACAGACAATTTAAAGTAAACCATTACAGCTTTTTTAAAAAAAAAAAAAAAAAAAAAAAACATTACACAATGGCCACGTCACACTTGTAATTGCTGAAGAGACTACTCATCTGCTCCTAAGCCAACACTTCCTGGCCTGCCAAAACACTGAACAAATTTGCTAATCAACAATGAAGCACAAACAATGTCTCTCAGGTAAAGACAGAGAAGGAGTGAGACTGTGATCTCTATACGCTCTTCTGCTATTCTGTTGCTAGCAGTGACAGGATCATCATCAACATGAGATGGGCCCTACTAATTTTTAATTGGGAAATCCAATCCGATACCATCTTTTCCTCTAGGACCCACTAGTGCTTTAACCCAAAACAGTTCCTTTGAAACCTATTGAAAACCATTTCAAACCATTTAAAACAAACACGCCTTTTGCTTGTGCTGGACATCCAGGAAACACAAAGGTTACATTTGCTGCATCAAAAAATGTGTAATCAAAAGAACGAATGAAATGGGTAGCCACACCCTTAGGCAACATAAGACCAACAAATTTACCATTAAAATGCCACCTAGTGTATGCCACAGTATTCAACTCTGCACAACAATGAGAGCTATCAGTCCCAAACTACATGTATCTGTATGAAGCACAAGAAGTGGATACTTAAAGTGGTTCTGTGTGCAGCACCCCCCAGCCCACCCTAACATTTACCCGAGCCCCCTCTTGATCCAGCGATGTCCACTAGAGGGACTTTCACACCTAATTGGCTCCCGCTGCTGTCAATCATAGCCAGTGAGCCAATCAGGAGAGGTAGGGGGCGAGGCCGAGCTGCATCTCAGGAGCGTGCCTGCTCAGGTGCCCCCAATGCAAGCTGCTTGCTATGGGGGCACTCAACAGGAGGAAGGAGCCAGGAGTGGGACCCGAGAAGAAGAGAATGGGGGCTGCTCTGTGAAAACCACTGCACAGAGCAGGTAAGTATGACATGTTTTTGTTATAAAAAAAACAAAAAAAACAAAAAGAATTAAAAACACAACAACAAAAACACAAGACTTTAGTATCACTTTAAAGTGGTTCTAAAGCCTGAAGGTTTTTTACCATCATGCATTCCGATCCTGATTCAATTATGTGCACGAGAGCAGACGCTCTCGCGGGTCTCTGCCTCCTCACTGGCTCAGATGCAGCAGTGGGAGCCCCTGAGACACACAGAAGCAGCTAGAGAACGAGCACACACAAATGTCCCCAGAGTATTGCAAAAGTAAGTAAGAGATGTTTGTTATTAAAAGAAAAATACCTTTACAATTACTTTAAGAGCTTTCAGCAGAAATCCCATGGGTTACACAAGAGTCACCTGGACATTGTGCAGACTATAACAACAACTGCATCATGTTCCTCCGACAGCTGACATTAGTTTACATCTCTCTCTTGCAGTGTGCAGAAAGATCCAAGTCCACATACACAGACACATACAGTTGTGTTCAAAATAATAGCAGTCAGACATCACTAACCTGATCAATCACTGTTTTTGGTAGAAATGATATTTCTACACGGCAAATAATTTACTAGCAGGTGTAGTAGAGTAATAGAAATCCAACAGACCCAACAGTCATGACATGCATGCTGCTGATTCTGTGTAATTGAATCACTAATTGAAAGGGGCATGTTCAAAATAATAGCAGTGTGAAGTTCTATTAGTGAGGTCATTCATTCTTTGAAAAACAGGTAGCAATTATTGCCCTTATTTAAGGAAGGAAGGCAGCAAATGTTGTACATGCTGGTTACAGTGCATTTCTCTCTGAAATTCTGAGGAAAATGGGTCGTTAAAGACATTGTTCAGAAGAACAGCGTACCTTGATTGAAAAGTTGATTGGAGAGGGGAAAACATATAAAGAAGTGCAGAAAATGATAGGCTGCTCAGCTAAAATGATCGTAAATGCTTTAAAATGGCAACCAAAACCTGAAAGAAAGCGAAAAAACTACCATTCGAATGGATAGAAGAATAGCCAAAATGGCAAGGACTCAGCCAACAATCAGCTCCAGGAAGATCAAAGAAGGGGTAAAGTTACCTGTGAGTACTGTTACAATTAGAAGACTCCTATGTGAAGCCAAGCTATCTGCAAGATGTCCCCGCAAAGTCCTACTGTTGAAAAAAAGACGTGCTGAAGAGGTTACAATTCGCCAAAGAGCACATTGACTGGCCTAAAGAGAAATGGCGCAACATTTTGTGGACTGATGAAAGTAAGATTGTTCTTTTTGGGTCTAATGGCCGGAGACAGTTTGTCAGATGACCCCCAAACACTGAATTCAAGCCACAGTACACTGTGAAGACAGTGAAGCATGGTGGTGCAAGCATCATGATATGGGGATGTTTCTCATACTACGGTGTTGGGCCTATTTATCGCATACCAGGGATCATGGATCAGTTTGAATACATCAGAATACATGAAGAGGTCATGCTGCCTTATGCTGAAGAGGAAATGCCCTTGAAATGGGTGTTGTTCCAACAAGACAACGACCCCAAACACACCAGTAAACGTGCAACATCTTGGTTCCAGACCAACAAGATTGACGTTATGGAGTGGCCAGCCCAATCCCCGGATCTTAATCCAATAGAAAACTTGTGGAGTGACATCAAAAATGCAGTTTCTGAGGCAAAACCAAGAAATAGAGAAGAACTGTGGAATGTAGTCCAATCATCCTGGGCTGGAATACCTGTTCACAGGGGCCAGAAGTTGGTTGACTCCATGCAACACAGATGTACAGCAGTTCTCAGAAACAGTGCTTATACAACTAAATATTCATTAAGTGATTCAAAGGAAAGCAAAATCTTCAAACATTTTTCAGTTTATATAGTGAATGTTTGAGTTTGTAAAGAAGAATACAAACACTGCTATATTTTTGAACAGTCTAATATTCACTTGTCTTCAATTTGTTTTAGAGGAACAACACACATTTGATATATTTTTCTTCATGTTTTGATTTGGAATAGAATGTGTAGTGTTCCCAATGCATTTGTGTGTATGGAAATAAAAGCTATTAGAAGGATTTTGAGCTTTATTCACTTTTTTCAACACACTGCTATTATTTTGAACACAATTGTACACAGAGGATCAATAAGAACTAGCAGAGTAAAAGAAATAATCCTAATAACTGTTGCTGTGATACTATCCCTCCCCTGAACTGATGATTCACAATGTGAAAAAAAATGTGTATAAAAACGAATCATCCTATTTCCGTTCCATAGCATTACAAATACACTGACTTACTAGCAGTAATGAAGAGAACTACTACAGGGCCAAGTAGGGTGGAAACTAAACTAACCAATACTGAATAAATCTGCTAAAAAAAATTTTTTAAACATTTGTTATACACGTTTACATTTTAAGTATTTTTTTTTTCACAATTTTTGTTTTTAGAAAATATGTAAGACACGACAATAGGTTTTTCAGAGAACTATAGGTTATCTAAAGAGACAGCAGAGCAGAGCAGCTTGCTTTGCGGATCCATTTGTCTTAAAAAAGGAGTCAATGCGCACAGAGTTCCATAAGGAGCAGCTACTTTAAGGACTGATGAAAAGTAATCACAAATGACATGAAAATGGCAATAGAACTGCAACGGCTGGCTATATAGAAGACTGCATAATATTAATATACCAGATTTCATATTTGCACTTGCCCTTAAGCCCTGGTTCACACTGACCTGCAACTTTGAAACTGC